TGTTCTGCCTCTGATGTAGTCAAGAGAATTTTTCAGTTTTGTAATTTCTCTAAGAACATCATCTAGATTATTTTCCAAGATAAATTTCAGTAGCTTTCATAGCTGTATATTAATTTGCAGTATTCATTAGTGCAATAGAATAACTTTTAGTTCAGTTTCAAGCTTTTCTTTGTCAATCATTGGATATGCTTCAATGGTCAGTACTATTCCTTTTGTAGGATGTTCATTCCTAAAACTAGAGAAGCTTTTCTTGCTGAACAATTTATCAGCTGCTAAGTATTTAGTGGAGGAATATCTGTCCATTATATCAATACATATAAAGTCACATATTTCCTTAGCTTCTGCTATCAGTGTCTTTGAAGAATTCTCACAGTATTTTGAGTTTAACACACTAATTTTTCTGGATTGCATTTGGTTGTATACTATTTCAACATGAGGCACAATCTGATAAAAAATCTCTAACCAAAATTTGAAATTATCATAATTTACATATTTTAAAATTCCTGTTGCTTCTGAAATGGTTTGATCTGCATTTGATGTCGACCAAGTTTCTGTACGGCAATTTTTTAAAGGTTGCAAATTTTCATGAACTCTGTTTATGGTCCATATGTTGGAGTTCCAACTTGCGGAGGAAGACGTGGAATGCTAATGTCCATATGCTTCTTTAGAATAGACACGCGTTGCGGTGACCTCAAGAAGAATGTTGGAATAGCCAGAATATTGGAAAAAAATATTTTTGTGTTTCATGAAATGCTGGCTGCATTTCTCATTATTAAATTAAGTTTATGTGCATAACAGTGAATGAAATGTGCATTAGTAAAAACTGCTTTTATTTTTGCTTAGAACTCCTGCTTTTTTCCCTTTCATGACAATTACACCATCAACTGTCTGAGCTGTCAATTTTTGTTCATTTTGTTGAAGGATTATGTCCAATTGTTCTAAAATACATTTTGATATTCCATCTGCAGTTTGATTTTCTGGAATAAAGAATCCCCAGAAGCGAATATTTCTCCATTCAATACATACCGTAGAACAAGGACCATCTGAGTGTGTTCCAAAACATTTGTTGTATCATCAGCCATTAAAAAAACAAAAGAAGCTTTTCTAATTTTCGTCCTTATCTCCTTATAGTATTTGAAATAGGCAGTCAAGTGTCTCATTCTGAATGGTCTTTGAAACACCTTTGAAGACTAAAGTAGTTTCTGAGTGATTCTTCAAATCTGATTCTAATTTAGATGCAAAATTTACTAATCCTCTAAATACCCTTGGATTTACTGAATCGTCTTTGTCCACGTAAGGGAGTTTCAAAGTTTCCATAAGAGAAAGTGCAATCTATTATTTTGCAAAAAATTTCACGGTTCTTTTTTAACTTTTATGTTATGCTCATTGACTGAAATTCTGTATCTCTCACTAAGTTTCTCCTTAATACTAACGGTTCCTAAAAGTGACAGTGAAACTACATTACCAACGTGCTTCTTTGACTTCTCATGCTTTTCAGTTTTTCTTTCATTTTGTCTATATTTCTGAAACTATCTTTTGTCCACATTATATCACCTACAAACAGCAAGCACGGGAACCAAAACAGAGCATTTTTTACTTCACAACCTCAAAGACAACTTTTCTGTTGGTACCCTTCAGAATTGAAACTATGAATATATTTCTTGTTGTTGCTTATGGCTAGCTGACATATTAGAATATCAGGTGTTGAACGACCTGTTTTCTTAATTGTAACTTTCTCATGGAGAGACAGCTGTGAAAACGAAAGCTCTTGAAGTTCACTTACAATCTCAGAATTTATTACTTGAGGATGCAAGGACAGAGTTAAAGTTTTCTGTAAAATAAAAGAACCGAAAAAAATTAATGAAATAGAATAGCTGAAAAATAATCTAATCAAGAATATTATCAAGAATATCAAGAATTTTAAACGCAGCACACCCGGAGTAAAAAAAAAAAAAGAACCTCCTCCCAATGGCACGCCAGATTTGGTATTCCAAGAGTGACAGTGCTACTCTTCCTCACAGCCTTGTGTGCTGCTTCCTAAGTGCGCATGCACAGAGCAGCCAAATACCACACGCACAGAGTAAAAAGAAATCACTTTTCCAACAACATGCCAGAATTTTGGCATTGCAAGAGCAACAATGCTCTTCTCTCTCCCTGGCTCGCATGCTGCTTTCTATGTGTGCATGGACAGAACAGTCAAACACCACGCTGCTGGAACTGTGAAACATGCAGTTCCATACAAAGACTTTCGTACCTTTTTCATAAACTGGAGATGGCTACTGATATGAAGCTTAAGGATTATATATTGTAGAAGTATAAAGAAATAATTAAAGAATAAAGGGGCACATTATATTAAATATTAAAAATAATAATAGGTTAAAATAGGGGGTGCTGCAGTTCCATAGTGCTTATTAAAAGCCGCCACTGCTCCTCGCTATAAGCACATTGGTTCTTCTTTGCCCAGAACCACAATAATGAGTGTTGACTATTTTGTGCAATGAAAAATGAGCATCATCTGTCCACAAGATATTGAGAAGCCATTGCGGATTGTCATCCATTTTCGACAAAGCCCAATTTGCAAATTCATATCTCTTTGCTTTGTCATTTGATAAGAGCTGGTGGATTGATTGCAACTTGTAGGGGTGCAATTTTAAAACACTGTGAAGGATGTGGAATATTGATGTTTTCAGTATACCAGTGTTCAGTGCCACTTTGTATGATATTTACTGCACTCCTTGATTGTTCTCTTAGAGTGCCAATCTGTGAAACAACATCGGAAGTACGCACCTATGATAAACTAGGTGCACCACTATGAAGGCAGTGATGCAAACTCCCGGTTTCTTTGAAACGTCATACCAGAGAAGTCAGGGAATAGTGATTGAACCTGAACCTTTCTTCCAGCCCTTCTGTGTCTGAAACATTCCTAAAACTTCAGTCGACTATTCTTGGCTGAGGCAAAACAACTTCATAAATAATGCTTTTACACTTATCTCTCATAACAATAAAAATTTTTTGTACAAGAAAATATCAAGTAGAGTACAAGTCTTTAATCCGGACGTCCATAATCCGGAATGATCTATAATCTCGACCTCAAAGTTACAAACTTTCTGCGCATGCGTAAACACATAATGGGTTTACGCATGCGCATAATACGTTTACACATGCGCGTTTAATGTATAACGGATGGTATAAGCTAGGCTAAAATTATCTAATTATCTGTTTCAGTTAAAGTTGCAGATTACATTGTTCCTTAATCTTCTAACTGGATCTGGCTTATTATTTTTTGCAAACTGTTAGAGCAATTTTATAAAAATTAAGCTTGAACTTTTGATTATGTCAAAAAGATTTTCCGATTCTGGAGCTGCCAAAGGATCACAAAGCGAAAGCATGTTCATGTCCATCAACAAAAAGTGAATTGCTGCAAAAAAATGGATAGGCATGAAGAAAGTGCAGAGAGGTTAGTGAAAACGAAAAATTTCGATTGACACAGTTAGTCGGTTTTCTCGGCACAGCAATTATTGGACTTGAACAGTGGACTTTGTAATTGAACAAGAATTATGTCTGTTTATAGAATTAAGAGAAAGTATTAGCACAAAAAGCAAAGCAACTTAAACAACTTACATTGAAAGAAATGCTTAATAAAGTCAACAAATAAATATTAAGTTTTTTTTTTAATACCCTTTAGATCATAATTGCTCTTTATTTCATAAATTATGGTTTCATAGTTTTAATTTTAGAATTTTTGCATGCCATCTTAGCAGATTTAAATTGATGAACTATAATCCAGAAAAACCCCTAATCCGGAATCACCGAAGCCCCTATGAGTCCGGATTAAAGACTTTGTACTGTAGTATGAAAAATCGGAAATGAGTTGTTAATTGTAAAACCTGCAATTTATAGGACTCTAATTTACATATTTCTCGTTACCACAATCTGTGCAGCGCCCTCTATCTATGAAAATTTTAACTACTTTTTTCCTTTACCCCCTCCCAATCTGCCTTCACAAGAATAACTTTTTCACAAACCGTGTGACTGACATGAAATAATTGAAGTTAAATTAAAACTAAACAGGTAAAGAGTGAACTAGGACATTGTAATTTAATCAAATTTAAGAAAATTAGATAAAACTAGTAGAATCTATTGTATAAACCTGAACTGAGGTGGAAAAGTAATGTGTAAAAATAATAATTTCAAAAAAATGAAAACAAGATGGATATAGCTGTATTATTATTGTCAGATTCAAATTTTTTCAAGGGGTAGAAGAATCTAACAATGACTGTACCTCTTTTTCTGGTATAATCAGGTATGTTTCTATCGCTTCCAATTAGCCGGGGCAGTGAAATTAGTTATTTTAAATTGTTCAAATGTACCTCAGTGTAAGTAATTTGCCAAAACAAAAGTGAACGAATCTTAATTATTCAGATAAAAATTCAGTAGAGCAAACATTTTTAATTATGGGGGGGGGAAAGAGAGAGATAAGGCTTAGCCACTGCCAAAAAGAAACTTCATATATGAAATCTGTACACAGCAAAAAAATATAAATAAATAAAAATAAAAAATTGAGATTTTATGCAGTCTGGAGATAATTAAATTAAGCTTTCATCTAACTTAACAAATTCATGTCGAATTACAAAAATAAGTAAATAAGTAAATGAAATAAGCTTGTAAGAAGTGTACTGTACTTACTTCAAAATGAAATTTTGGGAGGGGGGCATTTTATCGTGTTGACTGAAAAAGGAGTTATTGAAATTAAGTCCGGGTTACTATCGCTCATTTTTTTATCTCACCAAGAAATATTGATGAAAGAAGTTTCACTCACTTAAAAAATGTATCTATTCATGTATCTAGATTCTCAATATTTCATATATGTACGTTAAATTGAAATTATACAAAACTTCTGTTCATTTTCACGTGCTGCATATTTAAACTTGCCATCTAAATGTATAATATGTTTTCTTTTTACTTCTGTATAATTTTTGTTTATTAAAAATTTCTTTCAGAAACTAATCCATGCTATAGGAGATGTTATCAAGGTGTCTGTGAAAACACTGGCAAATGTGGTTCAAATCTTTGTTTGTTCCAAGGTAATGGTTCCTATACCTGTGCATGCTCACATGGGGAGCTTGCTGAAGATGGTCATTCCTGTAAACGTAAGACTGAATTTTAAAGTAAAACTTATTTTTTTTTATTTAATTTAAACTCTTTTATATCCCCTTTAAAAGTTTTTCTTGTGCTGTATAGAACATGGCTTATGCTGTATGTTACATGGTTTTAATAGTTTGGTTTTTCTGTTTAAAGTTCTACACAGAAGTAAGTATGGTTTGTGCAGAACTTGTGCAGTTTATACAGATGTTATATTTCTGTTCCTTTTCACAAAAGCAAGACCATCCTAATCATCCTTTGCTGCTGTTCCATGTAAAGCTGCTGGGTTATAGTTGTTCCTTAGTAGTTGTCAAGCAATATAATTTCAAAGGTTTGAATGTCATTCAGTTTTATCCTCCAGTAGAATATCTGAGAAGAATGGTATTAATCCAGTTCTTAAAATTACTATTCAGATAATTTTGGTTCACATATTTTATATCATTTTCTAATTATTTATCGTAGACCAGTAACTGAATGAATTTCTTTAAACTTAAAACCATGCATTTGCTATGTGTTTTTACTATCAAATTGCATTTTTATATCTAAGAAAGGGTTTTTATTTTTAATTATGAATTTTCTTTTTTTAAAAATATAACTGTGTAATGGATATATGGAAAGTTATAAGTAAAAATTACTTTATGTGTTATAAATTTTTAAATTATGATTTCTTCTCTTTTTTTATAATATTTATACTTTCATAAATTTCATCTTAGTTTTGTAATGTTCATTGTATTGTTTAATTTTTATTTTATTATAATCCAGTTCTCAGTTTTTTCAAATGTATACTTTTATATATCTGCTTAATATATTTATTACTTATAAACTGTTTGTATGTCTGGATCTGTTAATACATTCATTCCTTATAAATTGTATGTAACTCTGGTTTAGGGTTTAATATTAAATGATGTGTTGCCTTTTATTTATTTACTTGAAATTGATAAGGATATTTTTAATTAGAAACCCTCTTTTTATTTTGCAGCTTTTGATGCCTTCATAATGTTCTCTAGAGTCCTAAAAATTGACAGTATTAATATGTTTGATGAGAATAATCCAAATGCTCCATACCCAAGTATTAGCAATAAAGTGCACATGAGAAATGTTATTGGATTATCTTTTGATTATGAAGGAAAGCGCTTATTTTATTCTGATATTCAACGTGGAACTATAAATAGTGTTAATTTTAATGGAGAAAATCATACTGTAATTATTGAAAGTAAGTTAAATTAACATTTTAATAACTTTTTGAAAATAATAAGGTTGCAAGTTTCTCTCTCCTTTTTTTTTTTTTTTTTTTTTTTTTTTTAACCCTTTGAGTGGCATAGCTTTGTGAATCTGCTCATAAAGGCCTGTATTTAAACAGCATTTATAAGCTAAATTTGCATAATTTCTTATTTTAGCTTGCTTGAGTGAAAATAACAATACAATGACTGTCACTAGTTTTATCCTAAAATATGCGCTATTTTGTTCAAGTTTTAGAGTCTTTAATAGTTACTGTGGCATGGAAGAATTTTCTTGTATATGCACACTCAACGACATTAAGAATGTGCCAAAAGTTAGAAGAGATGTTATTAGTTGTAATGTTAATTCCACAATATATGATTTTTATTTTCTTACCAAATTGCGATGGTAATTAAGAGACAGAGTGTGTTTCCTAATAATTTTATCAATTGTGTATATATTTTCAGATTAAAAATTTGTCATCTACAAAAAGAACAAACTGTGAAATCTAAAGGAATTTACCCCCCCCCCAGTTTTTATATCAATGTTATTTTATCCAGCATTTGAAGTTGTATAATTATGCATATTTCCTTGTATTCTTTTTATCAATTCTGAATACACCTGGAATTTCAAAATTTTTCACGCCTAAAAAATAAACTATGATAGTTTGGGTGAAATTCAAAACCTCATTTTGTTGCAAATTTTAAATGAAAGTTATTTTGTGCAGCATTTATTGTCATACAACTGTATGGTAGCTGGGTGTTAAAGAATAATTCCAGTATAACTCATGCATGTCCTAAGGGGTGATTAAAGTAAACAATCCTGTATCTGTGGAGGTGGAGTTGATATCCTTCCTACAGAGGATTATAAATGGGAGGGGGGTTGTCCTTGGGTTGGGTATTGGCCATGGGCCTGACTATTGTACATGTAAAATTTATCACAAAATCTGAAGAACAAAATTTGTATTAATTGCCTGTAAGCAAATGACTAGGAGAAAAAAGCTAAGGACTTACATTTTGAAAAATAGGAAAAATTATCTTTATAGAGGAGTGAAATACTTTAAATATTATGTGAACAATTTACCAAATATAAAGTGTATTTAGTGACAGTTCATGAGATTCATTGGAAAGGAAATAAAATTCTTGTGGGAAATTTAATTTCATACTTGTGATTGAAAGAATTTTTTTTTTTTTTTTTTCTTCTGAGAATGGGTTTTATTGTGAGTGAAAATATTCATCATTAAACTGGCTGAACTGTACTAAGAGGGACATCAGATTAATTTTTGGTGAATATTGGGCAAAAGAAGACAAAAAAATCTGGAAACATTCATCTGAAATTATCAATTACAGCCTTGGGAAAGTTTAAAAAAGCAATAAAAATAATTGATTTGGCACTGAATGCAGAATTGCCACATAAATTAACAGTACAAATGAGACATACTAGAGCCTGACAAGGATAACAATAAAGCTAAAAGAGAAAGAAAGGAATTATTTAGATTTAACAAGGAATGGTGTTTTGATGGCCTCCTTAGACACGTTAAACATCTCAGAGGTATTACTGAAAGCAAAGCTTTCTACAGGAACATTAGGTGTGCAGAATTCTAGCCATATGCAAAAACAAAAATAGTGAAATCATTATTGAATTGTGTCAAATAGTTTTAAAAAGCAGATGCAACATTTTAGGAATTACTCAATACTAACCAGTCACCAGTCACTAAATGATCAAGAAAAAATTGTAATTCCACCACCAAATTTTCAAGAAAAAGAGACATAAACTAAGGCTTTTTAAGAATACATAGCAGCAGGATCAAATACCATTCAGGCGGAGTTTTTGAAATGTAGAACACTAATACTGGTTGAAATTGTACTCAGTATTTTTGTAATAATTTGGAATGAAGAGTAACTGTCATCTGAATGATTAACATTGTAATTTGAAGGTAAATCCCTGATTGAGAAAAAAATAAGGCAAGTTCATTACTTTGAAATTAACCCATGTCATTTCCAGCTTAGCTTTTAAAACAGCATATTACTCAATTAATTAGCAAAATTTACTGGTTGCTATGTATGAATTCAGAATTTCTGAAAAATTAATTAAACTGATAAAACTTATTGCAAATAAAGCAGCCTCATATGTAAAAATTTAAGGACATTTTTACGCCCAACTGGTATAGTGGTTAATGTTGCTGAAGGGCGTGGGTGCGAATCCCAGAGATGGCATGTATGTTTGTAAATGTATAGTGTCGGTGTGGCATGCCAACACTCGAAATATGCGGCAAGCCAAAAGTCCTCTGGGGTTTGGTGTAAGGGCAGCGGGGTGGGAGACCTTCAGACCCATCCCTTCCAGGGTGCTCTTTATCAAAATTGGGGGCAGAACTGAGCTAAATCACACAGTCACCTGTATGAATAATGTACTTTTTTGCTTATTAAGCTACATTTTAGAATGCTGTTGCCAACGACAGACGGTGCCATTTTATGTGCTCAAGTCTGTTGCCAACGACAGACGTAATCTTGTGCTCCTTGCCATGAGGAATTTCATGGACCTGAGCTGATATTACAGGTCAGACAAGTGAGCATAAGTAACAACAACAAGGGACATTTATCAGAATATTTTCAGGTCAGAAATGGAGTCAGCCAGGGTGACTGTTAAACTTATCTGTTTTTTAATTTTGCCCTTGAAAACATATTAGGGCTCAAGAGGTACTGTTAAATCCTTTGCAGCTTTTGGCAATTGCTTTTGGCAATATGTCAGAGATCTCTGACTGGCTTTAGAAGCTTTTATGTTTCTCTGATGGCTGTCACAGGAAGCACAGGCTTAGGTTTTTTTTATATATAAAGTGAAATTTTGGCCACTTATTAGAAATAGTCTATTTCTATGTCCCCACCCCGCTTTTATTTAAAGAACTCAATAGGGCTGTTAGTCCTGAAGCACGATTTGGTGTTATTTTACGTTAAACAGTGCTTTGGTTCACTTTTCATCTCTGCCATTTGGGAAAATGTCAGGTATAATTTGTTTGTATTTAATGTGTCTATTATTAATTAACAAACTAAACTAGTTAAAAGCAATAGATGATTTTTTAAAAATCTGTTTGATTTAAATAACAATGTATTTAATTCATTATGTATTTATATACATAATGAATTAAATACATTGTTATTTAAGCTGAGCTGATATTAAAAACATGAAATATTTTTATAAAAATACATTACATATTTTTTCACTTTTTAAGTAAACTGTCGATATATAACCTTCCCATATTAATTTAACTGTGTAATCTAATATCCTATAAAATATGTGACTACTTCACCAAGGCCATCTCTATCAATAATATGTACTGATAAACCATATTAAACTTTAAAAGCTAATATCCAAACTTTTTCAGATTTTTCTTCCCCCCCTTTCTTTCTCTCTTCTTTTTTTTTTTTAATTTTATTCTTTGCTCCCCCAAAGAATAGCTATTTTTACTAGTAGTACTTTGATTTTGGAATTAATTGTAATGATGAATTACTTTTGAAATACAGAGAAGAATCTTATCTAGTTATTGATGCTTTTATGATCTTCATACATTTCTAAAATGTAGCTTAATAAGCAGAAAACTACATTACTATTTTATGAAACTTTAATATGAGTCATGTTTAATGCATGCTTCGGAGACCCAAAAAATATTATTATGAATATTCAAAAAAAAATTATTATGAATATTCAAAAGAAAGGTTTTTAGAAAAATATTTGCCATAATAAAATCAAATTCTGTATTGAGAAAAAGATTTTTTGGACTTTACAGGATTTATAAGAACAGTAATATTGTACAACACAGTGGTTTTCTAGTGGCAGCATCTTTTTTTTTTTTTTTTTTTTTTTTTTTTCCATTGTGATTATTGTTGTTTCTGTTCTTTTAAGTTCCTGGCGAAAAAAATCCCTCAAAGTTTGCCAACTATGCTGTGCACATTAACTTTTTAAATCGCACTTCAGTTATCTTGAAAGAATGCACTCTACTGAAAAAACTTTCATACACAATACACATTGTGGTCTCTTTTCAACATTTATATCTGATGACGTAAAACCAAACTCTAAATAACTGTCATCATATTGACAATATTTTAATTTCTTGACAGTCGTGCCACTAGTTAAAGACATACTTTCTTTGTCAGCACTATTATGTTTATTACAGTTCCAAAATCGGTCCATTATCAAAGATATAACAGTAAAATATCACAAGACTATTTACCATAAGGCAACAAACCAGTAATTATATAGCACAAAAATACTGCATAAACAGGGTTCGTATGGTCCTTAAGAGTCCTTAAATTTTTTGGAATCGATTTTTGGTCCTTAAAAGTCCTTAATTTTGGCCAAAATCAGCAGAAGGTCTTTAATTTTAATCATCTGAAATTTCTGTCTGTTTTTATGACTGCCATTTTGAGTGTGAATTAGCATTTGGTTGGAATATTTTTGGCGATTTACTGACACATATGGTTATCTGTTGAATGGGTTATAATTTGTTTCTATTTCTAATATAAATAATGGGATACTCGAGTTTCTAAGCAAGAAGTGAAACATAAGCATTTTGAAATTAATTTTTTTTTAATAAAGAAATTTTAAACAACTTTTCGCTTTTGGGGATGTGAATTCTTTTATTAAACGGTTCTAAATTTCGCGACTTGTCAACATTTTGGCAATTTTAAGATCAGTTTCTATAGAAAATTTTTAATTCCGAGATCTGAGACTTTTTAGACAATTTTTTTAAAACATCACAACATTGATAAATTTCATTAAAATAATGGTAATATATTGAAATTATATTTAAAAAATAACATTAAAATAAAACATCTCTATTTTTCTCTGTAATATTATAAAGTTTCATTTTGGCAACTTATTGTACAATACTATGAATCTGAAAAGTAAGGCATAATGCTATAAAGCGTAATTTACGAAACAGCTCTTAACAAGAGCGAAATTAGCTACGTAATTAATTAAAAATGTCTTCTTTTTAATTTTTTCATAGTAAGCTTTTCCCCATCTCAGAATATTCAAAATTCTCAGAATATGCATCAACTTTCTCTATAAAATTAATTTTATACGTTTTCCCTCCCCTTTTTTTTTTCAAAATATTTCTGGCCTTTTGCTGCTGCTACAGAATTGGTTAGGGATAATTTTTCTTCTAGTCTTTTTAGACATTGCAGCTTGGAACGTTTAGAAGGATTTAAAGGCAAGATTTATAGACCCACGATTCTAGAAGATTCGAGAAATATGTGACAAAATGAAAAATGTCGCCATGGTATCAACATGTAATGGATGTATTTTACAGAAAGTTTGTGATTAATTTCTTACCTTTTAGAGAACGTCTTAAAGAACAATGAAAACATAATATTTGAATGTTTTACTTCTGATACTAGAATCTATTTCCTAACATGTTTATCTTTCCTTTATTTTCTCTACTTCTCACTAGACACAAGTATGGAAAATATCAAAACATCTTCTAATCTTATCACATATGGCCAAACATTATAGAAAGGGATTTTTTTAGTAATAAAGAAATTGAAAATTTACAATTTAAAAGATTCATTTAATATGTCTTAATGCATCAACACATAGGTGGCACTAGGCATTTCCCACCTGATGCAGTCTGTGGATCCTAAATTCTGCTGCCTAGTGCCTTTTTAAATTCTGCTTCCAATGCCTGCTCTAAATTCTAAAAGTTTTGCTATTCTATATTTTGTTCTTCGGTGTGTCACTAAGAATCTGTCTAAGAATTCTAAGAATGTCTAAGAATTCTGCCACATCAGCTTTGTAACCGGGCTTTACCATACATACTTCATATTTCTTTATGAATGTTCATATTACTAAAGGAATAAAATTAGCTACTTTTTCTATACATTCTAAATGCATTTAGTGTTTTTTTAGAATAACAGAAATCCTTAGTTAGATTCAAAAATTCTGAAATGAAAAGGAAACATGTTGAAAGAAAGAAACTGAGAACATAAAGAAAATTACTCTTCAAAGGATATGTGCAGTTGTTATTATGTAACTTACCTGTTGTTTATGATTTCAGCCTTTCAGTTTATGATTCATTCGAGGGTTTGGGGCTATTTAACTTTTACCAGATCAAGTAAACCCTCATAGGTACCTTGTGGAGAGGTTGACAAGTTAGAAGATAAGCACGCAGAAACTAGCGAGAGCATTGGTTTGCATATTGAGACATATCTCTAATTGTAAGAAAAGGTGCTTAAAGAGAAGGAAATCAATATAAACTAGCCAAAATGTTTGGGAAGGCTTCAAATTAAATTGAATTATAAATATTTTGTTGAGTGTTGTTGTTATAAAACATAAATGTTTTGTAGCTTTTAATGTGTATCCTAATATCGTTTAAGAATCAAGGTCATAAATTATATATATTTTAAACTGGTACAAAGAAAATTTCACTATTTTTTTTTCTTTCTTTCCCCTCTTTTTTTTTTTTTTTTTTTTTTTTCATTTGTGTGTGTGTGTGTGTGTGTGAGGCTAAATGTTTTGGTTCAATTAATTCTGAAGCTTTTACAATATTTCATGGCTCCTTTGTGAAGAGGCCACAGTGCACTGTTTGGGAACCATGGATATAACACATTAAGATCAATAGAATGAGATTTGCTGGGAACATTACAAGAAAGGCCATAAGAAAATTGGTAACAATTAAATATTTAAGAGGAAGCTGAAAGCATGAAGCGCTGAGTTTGGGATGGTTAGAGGACATTAAAAATAGTATTAACTTGTAAATATTCAAAATATCTAAAAGGGAACTTACTAGAATAATGTGCTGAAGAAGATCCTGATTCATAATAAGCTATCGTGCTATTGATTCTGATGAGAGCTGCAGAGATTCCTTGGCAGTTTTTATGTACCTTAAATTTCAAAATTTTCTGCATATAGAAAAGAAGCGTTGGAAGTCTGAGGAATTTAAAGCATAATTTTGTGACAGTTTTATAGAAATCTTCCCCGTCCCCAGTTTTTATGTTCATAAATGATTTAATTTCTCTGTAGTTTCCAAAAGTTGTATAATTTCGTTACCCTCCTTTTTTTCTTTTCTCTTCCCCCCCCCCACTTTTTAAAATTTAACCAGTTATAATAATTGATTACTTGTTACTGAATTTTGTTCTTCTGTTTATTTCATTGTTTTTTAGAACAAGGATCTGTAGAAGGTTTAGCTTATGATCCAATCCATAGAGATCTTTATTGGACTAGTCACAGTGATAGTTCTTTGAGTAGAATCAACTTAGCTACTGAAAACTCTCGACCAGAAGTTGTTATTCATTTAGGACCTGATGATAAACCAAGGGGTATTGATATTGATAGCTGTGCATCGTAAGTTGTTCTTCTGTGTGTTTTTCCTTTTAAACTATAACATGATTCCAGATGAATGTTAAAAAGTTTCGTAAGAGATTTAAATTGTTTAAACCAGTATATTAAAGTCTGCGATATGTGAAATCTTTTAACAACAATAGAATAAATAATAGCAATAAATCTACGTCTGTCATGTTTCATCTTACTTTCATCATGCATGTGTCAGCATTTATTTAAAAAAGATGCTTTACTCATTTCTTTGTTTATTTATTGTATATTTATTTGTTTAATGAAAGCAGATGTTTGTCTCTCTGTGTCTTTCGAATTTCTTTGAAAATTTTCAAATTGTTCTCTCTAGAATGTTATATGTTGTCTAAATGCTCTTAATGGATATAGCATTAGAAACCAAAATGATGGAGTTTATCTAGCAGCTCCCAAAAGAATAGTGTAATGTACCCAAACCAAATGCAAGTTATAAACAAGCAAATGCATTCCTATGTGCGTGCTAATTAACCCTTCCTACTCAAGAAAGGAGAACATATATGATTGGGTATTAATTTTCATCATGGATGTATTATCAGCACAAGTTAGCTGAGCCATTCTTCTCCCTTCCCCATTGGGGATAATCCTATATAAAATATTTATGTTTTGAATTTTTTCCCTCTGTTAATGGCAGATCTGCTTTGAAGTTTAAATACTAGAAATCAAATTTAAAGTGAAGCCTGTGAGAAAAATTTTAATAATAACTATATTTTTAGTATCCTTTTATGTTTTCCTAACATTTTGAAAAATTCAGGTGTTTAATATTGGAATTTTTGCTTACAGCAGTATTTATGTATTATCTTGTTAGCCATGAAACTGTCATCAAGAAGCGCAATTTAGCATCAGTTATAGATAAATGTGATGTAAAAATGCACTTATAAAATCTGTGCTTTCATTTGGTGTAACCTGATTGATTTTCATTAAGCCACATTTTGTTTTCATGAACAAAGATGTAACGTAGCTGTTACTGTTGCATTTTTCCTTTACATTTTGGAGGGAAAAACATTTAGTTCATAGAATGTAGAATCACATTTATATCAAACTCTGGTTCATTTGTTGCTGGTTGAAAGAATTAACATATTTTAAAAGGGGAAGGAAGCAGCTGAATATGGCCGCAAAGCAATGAAATAGGTTGGAGCAGTCACTTGTAGGTAATTTCTGCTAATAATGTTCTGAAGAGAGCAAAATCATAAAAACCTATCAAAATATTAGAAATCAACCTTTTTTTTTTTAATAAAATGCAGAAATGGAAGTGTATCAAAAACTTCCACAGCAGTGGCTTATTGGTAGATTGCAGAGAGGCTGACATCTGTGGAAATTATTTTGATTAATTGATAGATGGCGCTAGCATTGCATGTGAACACGACGCGACGTGCCTTCTGAATTTCCGTAGACGCTCCACCGGCAGTTCGATAGATGGATGTCTGACGTTTCGCACACTATTTGATGAGGAACACTTCGGTTCCTATTTGAAAGATTTCGATTATGAAAGCATATAGATTTGTTTGTCAACTGAACCACCACTTTTTTATTAATGATCTGTAAATATTGTACATATTAAAAGTTACATTTTTAAAGTGTTTGATGTCGATTTATAGATCTTAGAATATTTTGAAACAGCTGGTGCATAACAGCCAACAATTGGATTTAGCACCTTGCAAGTGTGCGAAGTCTGAAACGGTAAGACTAAATTTTCTAATTTGTAGAGTAACAATGGCAGAAGAGTCTGTTGTTAAATTAAAATCGAAATGAAAAGTTATCAGGACCACCGTGTCCAAGATTCTAAAAAAAAATCGAATCAGAGTTGAATAAAGAAGAAATTGATACAAGTACATTAGAAGAAAATTTAGATCAATTAATCACGAAATCAAAAGCTCTGAGTAAGTTAGATGCTCAGATAGAGCGTGACTTGAAATCAGAGGCGGAAGAGTTTGAAACAGAAATTCTATCTTGTATCGAATACGAAGAGAAAATTCAGTTATGGCAATTCAGAGCAAATAAAAAATTGAAAGAATTAAATAAAGTAACAAATTCGGATAATGAAAACTCTCTTAACGAAACTAATTCTAAAATCGAAAGCATAATGTACGTGTCTGCCAAAGTTAACCATCGCTAAATTCTATGGAGATTATACCCAGTGGAGAAGTTTTGGAACTCTTTCAAGTAGCAATCCATGATAATGAATCTTTAACAAAGATCGAAAAATTTAATTATTTAAAATCATACTTATGCAGCAACGCTGCAAACGTGATAGAAGGTTTTTGCATTTCGGAACCAAATTACGATGAAGTTGTCGAAATACTTAAAAACAGGTTGGCAGGAAAGATATAATTATAAACTCACACATGCAAAAACTCCTGAATCTTACCCCAGTAACTAAATCCAGTGACACTTTAAAACTTCGCAAGCTTTGTGACACTATAGAAACTCAAATACGCAGCTTGAAATCATGGTAAAATCCTAGTATACGGTGCGGCCTTGGCGCCATTTTTAAAATTGTCGCCAACACCAAAATGATGCATTTACGTTTGTCGCCAAATTTTTGGCAACCTCAAGGTAAAGCGTCACCACAAGTTTGAGTTGGCAAAAAAAGTAAACAAAATGATAATCATAAGATAATAAATCCTAAGCATACGTTGAGACACAAGAAAAAAAAGCAAGCATTTAGAAATTGAAAATAATTTTTAACAGACTTTATAACAAATAAAAATATAATTTTCAACATGCATCGCAACAAAATACAAAACATTCACATATCAAATATAATAAATTAATACCATGGCTCAGTGTCACATATGTTTTAGGGTCTATATTATAACTCAAATGCCATGGCCCTCAAACTCGGGTGGCGGATATATTGCTTTTATTGCAAATATAAAGTCTTTCATTTTTTCAGATGACGATTTATTATTTTTCAGGCGCCGCCACATATATTCCACCAAATAAGAGTCAAACTCGTCGCTTACCTTTTTCGTCCCCTTCATCCCATGCTTAACAGCACTCCACGTTCCTCCCAAATCCTAGTATACGGTGTGGCCATGGCGCGATTTTTAAAATTCGGCAGCAATCTGGCATCTACTGCCCATTGAATTCCAGCAAGCTTTCCTTCCAGTTCTAACTTTCAAAAAAATTTCGTGTTTAAATATTCGCAATTCATAGCACTGCACATCATAATCGAAAAGTAACGTTATCCAACTGTAGAACAAAATACGTTAGCAACTCGAACTGTAGAATAAAAGACGTTATCAAACTAAAATTATATTCAGTATCTGACCAAAAACCGATTAATTAAAAAATATTAACCAATCAGAAACTCGGCAGAACCACTACTGTTATTTTAAAAAATACAAAAAATAAAAGATAAATAAATTTTACCTGAACATACGTTATCCTTTCTCATTCAGTTCAGCCGAAGACAGAAGATTAACAGAACTTCAAGCAATGGTTTGAAATAATTCTTCTCTTCCATCTGCATCAATCAAAACTTCTCAATTTAAAATATTTAATGAGCATGCGCGATAATGCTCCCAAATGCACTTTCCTCCAGAGCATCCAAAATTGGCTTGGTTACCACAATTGGTGCGCTTATTAGTCTCTTAAACCCAAATTTCGCCAACTCTCATGTGCACCGTATACTAGGATTAAGCCGAAATCATTAGAAGTCACACCGGATAAATACAGTTATATGTTGATTCCAGTCATAATGAAAACTCTGCCGCTCTGATATAACCTTAGAATTCAATCGTAAAACGGATTCGTCATCTTTTTTTAATGTTGACGAATTATTGCAAATTGTTCGTTCAGAACTGGAAAGTCGCGAGAGAAGCCATCTTTTGCTCTCCACTCATAAATCAGAAAGCACTTCCTGTGTTTATAAAGAGAAGGGTGGGAAAGGGAGTATCGTCCATTTCACTCAGCAGCTGCTGGCGCTGGTTAAAGAAAACAAAACTACTAATTGCTGTCTGTTTTGTAATACATCCAAACATGTTACTGAAGACTGTGAATCACTGACAGTTGATGAGAAGAGAAATTTATTACGTAAACATGCCAGATGTTACGTTTGTCTGAAATGAAACCACCACCTAAAGCAGTGTCGAAGCGATCTCGTCTGCTCCAAGTGCAAAGGTCGACATAACCGTTCAATATGCTTTCGCGCTGAGAAAGAACTAAATGAAAAAAATAAAAGTATAGAAGTTTTCATGTTCTTTCAGCATTCTCACGCAACAAAATTAAAACTATTTTGCTTTGTAGTATGCGTTCCTTCCTAAGAAAAGAAATCGCGGATAAATTGAAGCTTCCTGTTATTTGAACAGAGACTCTTTTGGTATTTACGTTTGGAAATAAAACACCCATTAGAAAAACATTTGATGTTGTTAGGATAAAATTACAGAACAAGGAAACACCGAATTTGAAAATTGAAATTGATGCTCTCGTGACTGAACAAATTTCAAGTTCTGATTTACCACCTCCTAATCTTGATAGACGCATTTTAGGCAAACAGTTAAAAGATTTACAACTCGCAGACTCTTGGGATTGCAAAGAAAAAAATTACCTCTTTTGATAGGAGCTGATCATTATTATGATATAGTGACTGGGAAACTTAAGTGTATAAACAAACATTTAGTAGCTGCTGAAACGTTATTCGGTTGGTCTCTGTTAGGTTACACTAAAGGTACAACACACACGTCCACAGCCTGTAATATCATAGTTGAGGAAGATATAATATTTGATCAGATAAAGAAATTTTGGGAGCTTGAAAGTTTAGGTATAAAACCTGAAAATGAATTATCCGACCTATTAGACAATACCATAATGGAAAAATTCGAATCGGAAATTTTATACAAAAATTCTCGTTACAAGGTTAGGCTGCCATGGAAGTCAGATAGACAATATGAGTTACATGACAATAAAGCGATTGCGCTGAAACGATTTGAGAAACTTGTAAAGCGATTTCAGAATAACCCTGAACTCTTTTATTCATATCAAACAGTTCTACAAGATTATTTACAACAAAATATCATTGAACCAGTTCCAGACACTGTTGATAGTGAATCTCAAATCACATTTTATTTGCCTCACAGAGAAATCGTTCGTAGTGATCGAACTACTAGTAAACTATGTATCGTATTCGACGCGTCTTCACATGGACCTGGTGAAATCTCATTAAATGACTGCTTGGTGAAATCTCATTAAATGACTTGCATATTGGTCCAAATTTGTATCCTGACATTCTTGAACTTCTGTTGGCCTTCAGGCTTCATCCTGTAAGCATTTACAAGTGACATAAAGCAGGCTTTTCTTCAGATAGAAGTAGATGAGAAGACAGAGATGTAACGCGTTTTCTGTTTACTAAAAACCCGATTCGATGATCCACAAAATTTTATAACTTATCGGTTCACACGTGTGTTATTTGGCGTAAATAGCAGTCCGTTCTTACTGGCTGCAACCATTAAACACCATTTGAAACAATATGAGAAAACCTACTTTGCCACTTGCGAATTTCTAAATGATCACATTTATGTAGATGACATCATTGGAGGACACCAAAACGTTGAACTTGCTTTCAATACCAGTTTAGAATGCATCAGCATTTTTAGAGATGCTAGTATGATTCTACATAAATGGCACACCAATTCTCAAGAACTGCACGAATTATGGGTTAAAGAAGGTTTTGAATCCGAGGAATCTAGTCATGTTTCGGAAGCTAGAAATCCTCCATTAAAAGTATTAGGAGTCGCTTGGAACAATCAAAGTGACATGATTTACTTTGAAGTAAAAAAATTTGATAACATTTCTATCAAAACAAGTTAATACTAAACGTTTTCTCCTACAAGCAATAGGACGAATTTTTGATCCTATAGGTCTATTATCACCGTTTATTGCAGCAAATTTGGACACTTGCTTTAGATTGGGATGATGAACTACCAGACAATTTATGTTCTGTTTGGAAAACATGGTGCAAAGAGGTTTCCAATTTAGACGAAATTGGTATTCCACGATATTATTTTTTTTCAATCGGTAGTAGTGATGTGGAAAGGATTGAACTGCACTGTTTTCTGACGCTAGCATAAAGGCGTATGGTACAGTAGTGTATCTGCGTATAACTTCTAGCTATGAACAAATATTTACGGTTTTTGTTGCTTCAAAGACTAGAGTAGTGCCTTTAAAACCGCTCACCTTACCTAGGTTGGAACTAATGGGAGCTCTTTTGTCAGCCAAATTAGGCACTAGCATCACTAAAGTTTTGAAGTTACAACTTTCTTGTTTTTTCTGGACTGATTCAAAAATCACACTTTTCTGGATAAAAGACTGTGCAAAGAAATTTAAGCTTTTCATTAAAATCGTATTCAGGAAATACAAAATTTGACATCCCCAGAAAATTGGCATTATTGCCCTGGTAAATGTAATCCCGCTGATTTGGCTTCGAGAGGAGCTAAACTTAATGAGTTGAAAAACAATCCTATCTGGTTTCAAGGACCAGAATGGGTTAGAATGTCATCTGGATACTGGCCTCGACAGAATGGAGAGAAACCTGTCATTGAAGAAGAATTAGAATACTGTAAGAACATTAATGGTACCGTAATTTCTGGAAGAAAGGCCGCATCAGCGTAAACGGCACACTCGAGAAAAATGGCGGGAAAAAAATTAAAATTACACAGAAACGCCGCATCAGTGTAAATGCCGCAGTAGATTAAATTGCGCGTGACATCGTCGTGGGCCGTATAGATGCAAAAACTCAACCTAAGTCCTGATATATGACATACCAGTTAAGAAAAATGCATGAAATGAAACCATAACTCAAAAATAAATTAAAGGTAAGAAATGTATAGCTTCTGTGTCGTTTAGAGACATTTTCAAAAAATTTCCGCTCCCTTCTTACTTAAAAACTATCCAACAAGTACTTGTACCCAAACTGATGGGATCTGTATTTGGCAGAATGCCAAGAAAAATCCATTCGTGCTGAAGGGGAAATACGTCAGAGTTCGTTATTGCAATGCAGGTGGAGTCGTGTTCGCCTTTGAAAAAAATTGCAGAAAAGGCAGGGGTGGGGAGAGGATGGGTCCTGGAAGATTCATCAAATGACAGAGAAGAGAGACTATTCAAACTGATGAGAATGTTGATTTGAAAGGGGGAAGAATGTTATTGTTCTGAGATCTCGTTTAGGGTGAATAAGGCATGTAGGTCCGTTCAAGGGAAAGAATGTAAACAAAATAACTGAGTGGTCTTTTGTGTGGGAACAGCACTAGTCTATGCACAATGACAAGGCCATCCAAACTATGTACAATGACCATCATAGGAAATATTTTATTTTTAGTGCACCTAAACACCGCATGGGTAGAAATGCCTCACCCGCTGAAAATTTAAGTTTTAAACACGTAAATGCCGCGGCGTTTCTTCCGGAAATTACGGTATTTATGAATTTGTGTGCACGGCAGTTGAAGAAAGGGTAATAGACATCTCAAAATGTAGTAGTTAAGAAAATTGTTGAGGATAACTGATTGAATGAAGCGATTCATTGGCAAAATTAGGAAAGCAAACCATTTGACAGGTCCATTAACGACTGAAGAAATAGTGGATGCCGAAAATTATTGGATTCGATCTGAACAAGAATGTTTCTATCCCGAAGAAATTGAGTCTCTGAAGAAAGCGAATAAAGTCAAAAAGATATCATCCTTATATCTTTTTAACCCATTTTTAGACCAAAACGGAATACTGAGAGCAGGTGGAAGATTAGAACATTCTAGTTTGTCACATGATGAAAAACATCCGGCAATTCTTTCAAGAGACTCCTGGTTAACGAATTTAATAGTAGAAAGTGCACATGTTGAAATGATGCATCGAGGAGTAGCAATGACCTTAGCTGAAATTCAAAGTCGCTTTTGGATTCCAAAACGACGTCAATTTATCAAGAAAATAATAAACAAGTGTCTTATTTGTAAAAGATATTCATTGAAATCTGCTGACCAGACCACTTCTCAACTTCCAGAGGACAGAATCAATGAGACACCACCATTTCTACGTGTCTGGCATCGATTTTGCTGGACCGAATTTACGTAAAAACATCGAAGGAAAGTCAAAAAGCCTATGTAACATTATTTACATGCGCTATCACTAGAGCCATAACATCTGGAACTTGTACCGAATCTCTCTACTGAGATTTTCTTGGTGGCATTCAAAAGATTCACATCTAGGAAAGGCAATTTGTCGAGTAATTTATTCAGACAACGCGAAAAACTTTTAAAAAGGGAAAAAAAGGAACTCGAACATTTCTCTAAACTATTGTCGAATGAGAAATTCCAAGATTTTCTGTCGAATGAAAGAATAAGTTGGAAGAAGTTTATAATAGAACGAGGGGCTTGGTGGGGAGGCTTCTACGAGAGATTAGTAAAATGAGTGAAAGAGTGCTTAAGAAAAATTCTCGGTAAAGCTTTACTAACGTTTGAAGAATTGTCAACAGTTTTAGCACAAGTGGAAGCACTTTTGAGTTCTCGTCCTTTGACATATGTGTACAATGACCACAAGGAACCGTTGCCACTGAAGCCAGTCAATTTTTTGATCTTTGGAAACAAAGATTCTACACTACCTATCAACTTTAATTCCATTGTTAAAGATGGCTCTATACAAGTCCTCTCTGACCAAAGAGAAAGATTTTTCAAGATTTGGTTAGTTAGCAATTCTGGAACTAAATAGAAAAAACAATATTTGATGGATCTTCGGACAGCTTATCAATTAAAATATCCTAACGTTTATGATGATCTAAAAGTTGATGATCTTGTATTAATTGAAGCCAACAATAAGTGCAAACTTTTGTGGAACTGTGGCAGAGTGATAAATGTTTTTCGTGGTCGTGATAATAAAGTTCGTTCTTGTGAACTAAAAACTGGTGATGGAACAATAATAAAATGACCAGTTTAGTTATTATATCCTTTGGAACTTTAAAAACATTTTTTTTGTCGTTTAATAATATGAATATGATTGAATATGTTTTATGCAATTGTTTATTTTGCTAATTTAGTTTCATATGCTTAGATTAAGAATAGTTTAAATTTACTGAGTGTCAAATTATGTTTGATGATAACATACCTTTTTTTAGAATTTAGTATAGTGATTATAGTTTGAATATATTTTCTATTCATTTAATATACTTATTAATTGTTTTATAATCATATGTTAAAATACTCATTGGTATAAATTTGATTGTTTTTAGATTAATGTGAACTCTTGACAGAGTTCAGGTGGGAATTGTGTGGAAATTATTTTGATTAATTGATAGATGGCGCTAGCATTGCATGTGAACACGACGCGACGTGCCTTCTGAATTTCCATAGACGCTCCACCGGCAGTTCGATAGATGGATGTCTGACGTTTCGCACACTATTTGATGAGGAACACTTCGGTTCCTATTTGAAAGATTTCGATTATGAAAGCATATAGATTTGTTTGTCAACTGAACCACCACTTTTTTATTAATGATCTGTAAATATTGTACATATTAAAAGTTATTTTTTTAAAGTGATTAATGTCGATTTATAGATCTTAGAATATTTTGAAACAACATCATTTTATTGTAAGAGTTGCAGATAGAAGTGGGATTCAAAATTCCATACGAATCATTGACACAGCTTTCACTCCTCTAACTTTCATAGTTCAATGATAGTCAACTTTCAGATTTAATGGGATAATATATAAGTACTCTTATACGTAGTGAATTATATGTATTCATTAGTACCTTTAAATTCATTTTGTTACAGTGCTGAATTTTTTAATGCCTTTTGTATTATCCATTTATCATAATGGATTTTTATAATGAGGAAAAAGTCAAATTTATTTTACATTTTGATTACTTTGTACGAAAAATAAAATGACACATTTTTAATTTATGGCTATTATAGATAGAATTATATTTTAATTGCAGACGAATTTATTGGACAAACTGGAACACAGAAAATCCCAGCATACAGAGAGCATTTTTAAGTGGCTTTGATTTACATTCAATTATAGAAACTAACATTCGAATGCCAAATGCATTAGCATTAGATCACAAGGCCCAGAAATTATATTGGTCTGATGCAAGACTGGACAAAATTGAACGGTGTAATTTGGATGGTACTGAAAGATACGTGAGTAATCCTAGAATCTAAAAATAATAACAATTTTGTAATTATTTCAGACATTTTCTTCATGTATTGATTGGTAAAGCTTATTTTTTACTAGATAAAAGCAAACATGAAAATAAACAGAAAAGGAGAATTCTCGAAAGTATTTTTTCAACTGAATGTAAATAATAGAAATATTTGCTCATAATATTTGGAAATAACTTCTTTTATAAGTTTTGCATTTACATACTCTTTAAAAACATGCTATACTTTGGTTAATCAATCATAAACAAATCGAGGGTTAAAAGATGCTGAATGTAATATTTTTTTTTATTTTTATTTTGTTGATGTTAAGTAGGGTAATATTCTCTTAGGAAGTAAATTATAGAAATCAGTACAGTGCTAAGTCCAAAATCCAGATGTTCAGTATCCAGAATGATCTAAAATCTGGATCTCCTGGGCACCAGCAGGTTTGATTTTTTTGTTGTTGTTTGCTTTTCAGAAATTTTTTATGAAAATGGAGAATTAGATGTCAAGAGTAGCATATACTTAATGCTTCACTCATGCACAGTAAACCTTTTTTCATAATAAAGTATGTGGAGGGTCTTGATTCTTAATTTCATTTCAGCACTAAGTAAAATACCTCTATGTTGAAGAAACATAATCATTTATTAGCATAAATCTGTATGATCTATTCAAAACTTCAACCAACTGCCTTGTGAAGTGTGTTGACTACGAGAAAAATCTAAAAATAGATTTTATAAATGAAATTCATGGCCATTTTGTGCTGTTTCAATTAAGAATTACTGATTTGTCTTTCTGGTAAGCTTTAAGGATGCATTTTCGTTTTGCACCTGCCAAGCTTTTTGGGCATGGCAGGTGATGATCTATTAGGCAGGACCTGTCAGGTGTCCTGTGTGTTTACCATCTGCATACTATTCTTAGAACTAGAAATTGTTGTTAACAATTAAAAAAACCCACCAAAATGCTTGGCAGGTGTATAATGGAAAAGTATTACCTTAAGTACAAGTGGATTATCGGATTCAGTAGTTGTGGAAAATAGACCTAAGTGTTATAAATAAGAAAACTAATATAATTCAGGCTCAAGGCATGATAGGAGGAAGAAAATTTTTTTGAAAGAACAGGTCTTTAGTTGCCAGTCTCATGATACATCACTGGTAGTGTGTAATGGACATTATCAGATTTATGATGATAGCCACAAATTTAAAGGTTTTTGAATAACAAAAAGGGAATTTCCCAGTTAGTGAAATTTGTGAAGAAATGTGGAAAACTTATAGTGAAGGAAGGAAGTAATGAATAAATCTTGTGGTAATGTGATGATAATATCCCAATAATCAATCAACTAATGAATGGCCAAATGTGTAGTATGGTTCCAAATCAAAAAAAAAAATAAAAAATAAATAAATAAATAAATAAAATAATAATATTGTTACTGATAGTGAAGAAATTGACAGAGAGGATGTTGAGAATGAAAAAAAAAAATTGGATTGGCCATTTAGTGGATATTCTTGGTTTAAATAATTACAGTACTTTGTAACTGATAAAGAAATTATGTCACACACACTCACAAAAAAAAAAAAAAAAAAAAAAAAAAAAAGCGTACATTCAAAAAAAATTTAATAATGCAAACAAGTAACTATTAAGTTCTTTATTTTTCTTTGTAACTTTTGTTTCCTTAACATCATAAATTACATGCTTCGTTATTTCCGAGACAACTATTTCAGATTTTTAATTTTGTGATTTCTACATATCATCTTATCAGACTCATAATCTAAAATTGGAAAATTCGGGAATCTCCCAAGTCCCCACAAGTCGTGATCTCAGATTTCGCACTATACTAATCAATAATTTTGCTTTGCAAAAACTTTATATTGAAATAAAATAATTAAAGTCTTGAACTGACTATAAAAATTAAGAAAACAAAGTTTTATTGCCTGAGTTTTGGAGGTGCAAATTAAAAATATAATGAGATGTTTGTTGTTGTATATCCAAAGTAGATATTTTGTATTATTTTGAATTAAAGGTAAGACAAAATTCTTTTGTTTCTATTATATAAATTTCAGCTCTTTGATATTATCTCTGATGCATATTATGCTTTATCTTTAGTAAATGAAAATAAGATTTTGTTATTCATAATTCTGAAATGGAAGATGTGTAAATAGGTATTAGAAGGTTTTAAAAAATTGTATGATTATAAATGCTTTTAAAATAGTAATTACCAGTTACAGTAAAATTAACTTCTGAAACAATGTATTGCATTGTAAAATATGGTATTTATTTACTAGTTGTAGTTAGTGTATTAGTTTTCAAACAATTTAGTAATTCTTATCACTTTTTGGGGGCGGGGATGTCTAAAAGGTGACGAAAATGATTGATTACAAATGCACTTGTGTAATTCTTTCCAGAGTATTTTATTTTTATTCCTAGAAAGTATATATATATATATATATATATATATATTTTTTTTAAGGTATTGTTAAATAAGCATCCACAACATCCATTTGATTTGGCAGTATATGATAATTACCTTTTTTGGACTGATTGGGTTTCTCATTCTGTGATGCGAGCTGATAAATACACAGGAAGCAATGTAGTTACACTCCGCAAAAACATTGCTCGTCCTATGGGAATAGTTGCTATTGCAAATGATACTGACTGTAAGTAGATGAACTATGGGTTAATTTTTAATTCTTGTTTTTAGTCTATTCTGCATATTATTTTGATAAATTTGATGTTTGAAATTTGCCACTATATGTATGCTATATGGAATGATACTATGATTTCTCTGAATATGAATTGAAACTAATTTGTGACTTTCTGTGAAGAACCGAATTAAATTTTAAGTAGGAATAAAATAATAATTACCAATCATTCTTCAATGGCAAATTCATAACTAATATAATTCATAACTATAATGTACAATAAAATAACTTCAACTTTCATTAGTTATTGAGAGTCATCATGCAAAATGTTCAGTTATAAATTTTTATATGTACCATTTTTTTTTGAAATAATAAGTGATATTGATAAAATCTGAAATGTATTTAACATTTTTTGTGTTCTTACATTTAGAAAAAAAAAAAAAAAAAAAAAAAAAAAACCTTTTGTTTTTGCTTTAATGTTTGCATTTGCTGGTTATAATCACTGGGAAAATTTATTTAATCTAAAATCATGTCATTTGGAGTTAACTGAAACTCTTTTTATTAGCTTAATAATTAAATGTTTAAATAATTATATATACTAATAATTATTTAGGTACATTAAATCCGTGTCATGTCCTGAATGGTGGCTGCGAGGACCAGTGTAATGTTGCTGTTGATGGTCGAGTGTGGTGTTCCTGTTTCTTAGGGAAAGTACTGCTGCCAGATGGCAAACGATGTGTTGGTAATGTACTAAAAACTGTTCATTTTTGTTTACATAGATATTTTTAAGAGACCAAAACATAATTTATTTCTCATTGATTTTGCTCAGACTCTCCTTGATTATTAAAAATCTTAAAAGGGAATATCTCCAACTACCTACCATTCATTATTCAGGTATCAGTAAGAAAATAGAGTACTAATTCAGAAGTCAAACAACCAAAATCAGCGTTATATTTTCAAAATTTTCACAGGACTAGTTTCGATGGTTTTACCGAACCACCATCCTCAGCTGTAAAACTGTAAATGATATGCAACTGCGTGGTCACAAATCCATTTGCTGTTTTACAGCTGAGGATGGTGGTTCGGTAAAACCATCGAAACTAGTCCTGGAAATTTTGAAAATATAACTTTTTTTTTTTTTTTTTTTTTTTTTTTACTTCTGAATTAGTATTTGTTCGGCGTGTTATTGTGGCTTGAGAAAATAGAGCTTAAACTTTTAAACATTTACTTTTTTTTTTTTTTTTTTTTTTTTTTGTCTGGCTGTGTTAATCTGGCTTGTAGTGTACTTTACTTTTAAAAGAAAAATCTACATTTCAAATCCAGTGGGGCAGCCACAAATTCTTTTTGATATTGCTAATTATTTTAATATTATGTTTTAATGTATGTATGAAAAATATTTTAAAGATAATGGCACAAAAAAGGATGTTAGGCAGAATTTGAAAATGAAGTTTTCATTTGTTTTTTTCCTAATTTATTATACTTTTCCTGCAAATTTATTTACAGGTAATGTGTGATAGTTATAAAATATTCAAGATGTAAAAGTATGTCTGTGCATATTGCATGCATCAAACAAACTATGGTTTATTACACATTAATTTTTTAACTGTAATAAACCGTAATTTGTTATAATTGTAAGGAAATACATACATCATTAATGACTGTAATAAACCGTAATTTGTTATAATTGTAAGGAAATACATACATCATTAATGTTCTGAAAATTCTCACATGCATATCATTAAAATGTTACATGAACTCATATTTTTCCTTCACTGTGTTTTTATGTTTTATGAGCATGTTAAGAATATAAATTTAAAATGTGCTAAATAATTTTTTATCCACTGTGCTTAGTGCTAGAACTTTATATTATCAACATTTTTACAAAAAGTATTGTCTATCTATTGTAAATTTATTTGTAAAAAAGTTTGGTAAGTTAGAATGAAATAAATAAAAATGAATTCTTTATGAGATTTTTGTATTAGAGTAATTCTTGTGTTACTCTTTCATGAATGTTTTTGCATGAATAAATTTCCTTTCAAAATAAATTAATATGAATTAATTAATAATATGAATAAAAATCAGTGTTGATTCTAGCTAAACTTCTCATTTAAAGTGGCATGCATTGCCAGCCAGGCGGTGATGGAGTTAAAACAATAGAAGCGGTACTTAAAAATTGCATCTAAATTTTCTTGCTTGTTTCTGGCTGGGACTTGCTTAGAATTTCTGAAGGTTTGAGCAAAATTAGTCAGCAGTCATGAGCTTATCTTATAACAAATAAGTCATGAGCTTATCTTATAACCATGTATAAATGATAATAATAAATCTATAATTAAATAATTTGTATCTTGTATAACACATAAAATTTGAATGATTTAAATGTGATATGATATCTGGCAGAGGTAACATTTTACAAGAATGTTGTAATTATTATTATACTGACTTTACAACAAAATCTTTATGTGTAATATAATCTTGCATTTTTTAAGGAGTCTTTTGAACCAATACAGTGTTGTTATATGTTTAGAATGTCATACTGACCAATCATTGCATATTCTTTTTTAGATGTGTATGTAGTGTTTTAAGATATTGCTTGAGCAAAGATATCTAATGCTTACAATCTTATGGCTCACAAATATGTCATTTAAAAATTATTTGCAATGAGACAAACCTGACATTCTTATTATATTCTCACAGAAATAAGAATAGTTTTTTCCCTCCTTCATGTAAGTAATTCTAAGACAAAGAAAGGTGATCTTAGATAATAAAAATCAATTTATCTACATGTAAAAGCAAAGGTATAGTTTTTGTCTCATTATTATTATTTAAAAAATTAATAACTGTAACAGAGGTATTAATTGCATGTAAGATTGAAATTAAAACATTTTTGACATATTGTGTTGTATATGTCTATCATATTTTTTTAAACTTTTAATGAACTTACTTTTGATTTTTTTTTTTTTTTTTTGTGTAAATTAATTACCTGTTATAGCATTACTGCCACATACTTGATATTCTAATATTTTTGCAAATATGGATTTATGTTATTTTTTTTAATCCAGTAACTAAATAATTCTAGCAAATTGATATGTGTATAGTATTATTATTAATTTTTTTAAAGTATTTCGATCACATAATTATTTTTTCTAAAATAAAATAAAAATGTTATATTTAAAATTATTGAGGCATATGTTGTATTTGTATTGTGAGTAGTTTTAGAATATAGTATGAATAAATCCCATCCCTTTAATCTTGATCCAATCAACCAACATTGCATTGATATGTATTATGTGTCTTACACTTTTTTTATTTTAAGTTTAAAACTTTTCTTTTAGTAAATTTTTTGTCCATATTTGACATTAAAATATAAATAAATAATTCCATTTATTATATTTGTTAAACACATGTTCTGTTGGTTTGTATCAAATTCAGTATGTATAATTATAAATGCTCTCAACAAGCATAGTTGCAAGCACATTAAGAGATATTCTTTTTCTTTTTTAAGAAATGCAATCAATCATCATGCCTTCATACTTGGTTTTTAAATTCTTCTTTGTAATTCTTATGTCTTAATTACTTTTTAGTAATATGTATATGTACATTTCCGTGTTAGTAGTTCTTTTATGATCTATTTGAATTTAAAACAGAGAAAGAAGCTAACTGTTCAACAGAAGAGTTTGAATGTGGGAATGGTATGTGTATACCATTCGAATTAACATGTGATGGAGTGTCTGCTTGTCAGAATGGAACTGATGAAAATGAACAGTATTGTAGTAAGCATAAATTTTTCTGTTATAAAATATAAAATCATTTATTGTGTTACTAATTTAAAAGTTTTCAGTTTTGTAAATAACAGTGCTTTTTTTTTTTTTCCACATATTGTTTGGTTGAGAAAGAAAACTTAATATGTCATTAACAAAGTCTAGGGAATAATTCAAAGGATATAGTTTTATAAAATATTTCAGTCTTAATACGAAAATTAATTTGAGTAAAACTATTTTTATAAAGTTAGCATTTGGCATTCATTATAATGATCACTCATTATTGCAACCATTCCACTACAATGATTCTTGCTAAATGTTCTCAAATAATGAGAGTATATTAAATATACTTTCATCATAGTGACCACCCATTATAATATCCTTTTTCTGTGGGCATAAGAAATGATTATAATGAGCATTGACTGTAGCTGGTTGTTATAGATAAATATTTATATTTTGCCATTTTTTTGTTTAATTTGTATTGTTGAAACTTAATGCTACAGCATAGTTTGTAAATTTAGAGTTTACTTTGTAGCGTACTTTTAAATTTGTCTGGTAATATTTATTATTTTTATTAGTTTTTGTTGTTTCTTGTTTTTGTATTTTTAAGCTGAAATTATATCCAATATTTTGTAACAAATCCACTCTTCTTTATTTAATTTATATTCTCTTGATTCATTATTTAGAAACCAGAACTTGTCCTTCAGAATTTTTTCCTTGTGCTAATAATCGCTGCATTCCTAAAAGTCGAGTATGTGATGGCCAGAACAGCTGTGGGGATTATAGTGATGAAATGCTTTGCAACTGTGCTGAAGATCAATTTAGATGTCATTTTGGTGGCCCATGTATTACCCAAGCGTACTTATGTGATAATGACCCAGATTGCCCAGACGGGAGTGATGAAATGGATTGTCGTAAGTCTTTGAGCTTTCCATCAAGGACATTTTAAACATTTGCACTGTATAGCTAAAATTGATGATTTTTTATTCATGTCTCACATCTGATGCCATAAATCTACATCATCCATGATGTAGATTTATGTTATTTAAAGTATGCGCTAACACCATGAGTTAGCAAATTGGTGAATGATATTGAAGCCATCTTATTTTAATAGATATTCAGGATTGTGTCAGTTTAATGTTTAAGTAATACACTCAAACCTGTTTTAGTGTGGTGGATAGCGATTGCCTAAAAGAAAATGCATTAAAAAAAGTCTCACAAAACTTCATGGGTAGCTATAAAAAATAGCTTTTGCAATACAATTAAAATATATTTTTTTATGTGGTGAATAGGTACCGCATAAAAAAAGTACATAGAAAATAGCTCACCCTACGAAACAACTAGGAATTGCTTTTTTAAATGAAATCAACACACGAGGCTTGCAGCTACTTGGAATCTCACCAAACCTTTTAGAATCTGATTTAGAAAATACACATGCGAACATTTTTAAATATTTGGTTTACATATGTACTTATTTTACACATACAAAACATTTCAAAACGTATAACCATTATCTGTCATAGTCTGACAATACATGAACTTTCTTATGGTAAACTGGTTGAAAATCGCTTTTGTCACTTGAAGATACTACCTCGCACTCATTTAGAATTAACGTTTTTTCAGTTACCATGTAGTCGGTAACTAGTTTTTATGTGTTGTTGTATTTGTGTTGTATTTAATTATGGCAAAGCACACTAGGGCTATCTACCTAAGGGGAGGGATGCCTTCGTGGAGGACTTTCTAAGGGAAACTGGCTCGTATACACGTTACACATGGGGAAAACCACGAAAACACCCATGCAGCCAGCCCGTTCGTGTTATTCGAACCTCGGACCGAACTACCAGTGTTCAGCGACGTTACCGCTCGGCCGCTGGTGGGCCTAACTAGTTTTTATGACGACTGTTGTTTCACTAGACGCTTGTATATGTCTCAGTAGCCAGATATATAGCATTGATGCTCCTTTTGGAATTTTGTTCTTTCAGAATTGGTATCGATTGCAAGAGAAGGGCATTCTAATTTATGGTAAAGTTGAGACCTGCGTAGATTTTGCTGTCATATAATCATATAATTATGTTCCAATTTGATTGAAATTTTTATATATCGCACACACACACTAAATAAATAAATAAATAAAAATAAAACCACAAAAAAGACCTCACAAAAACAGGTTTGTGTGTATAATAATTTTTTTAGATGACTTGAGGATTTGAAGATAGTGTAGATAACACAAGATGACATATTGAGACAGGCATGATCAAAATATCATCTTAATATATTCATGGACATTTCTGATAAGCTTAAACATGCTCGCATGTCATTTTGAGTGTGATAAGCACCCACTTTTTTGTAAAATGGATCACATCATTCACAATGGCTGAAGCAGAGAAATGAGCAACACGCATTTGCATAGCAAGAGGAAGAGAGGGAAAAGTGAGTGTGCATTTCAGCAGAGTGTATTTATAGAATAGAGATTGGACAAGAGCTAACCACATTGCAGGAGGAATGATGATGTAATGCATATTAGTTTTCAAGTGATGCAGTTTAAATTCCAGGTAGGAGACATAGAATTAAAATAAGGAATTATTAATTATAATTAAATGAAAGTAAGATTAAAATTGGCAGTTAAAAGGACGATTGCTAAATTAAAGTTAGTAATTTTCTTTCATATTTTAGATCTTCTATATATATTGCAGTGGTTTCCAAAACATTGCTAATGATTATTGCTCTTACTTTAATTCCAAATAATTCGTTAAATCATTTTTATCAGTATAGTTAACAACAATTTCATCCCTGCTGTGTTAAAAAGAATTAATTGTATAGCTTATGTATGCTTAAGAATTGAAAATGGGAGGTAGAAATTAAGGCACATTCTTAATTATAATATCATTTCCTATAGCCTTAAAATTTAGAAAAATGTTGGTAAATATTTGTCTTTTCAAAGGCAGTGTTTGGAAACATCTGTTATAATTCTTTGGTAATGATAACTGATAAATCAGAATTTATTATCTAGATGTAGATCTAGATATATTTTCAAGAAAGAAGAAAGCATTGCAATTAATATTTACATATTTTGAAAAAAAAAAAGTATAAAGTATGTTATTTTCATGTGAAATTATACAGTTAAAATGAAAATGATAAACTGTGTATTGCTGTGATATTGTATCATACTTCCTTGTATGTTTTTGTAAAATAATGCTGAGCTTTCGGAAATTTTGAATCTAATCTCTGTCATACTCTCAAGTTTTCTTATGTAATAAATAATTCATCCATCATTCATGTATTCAAACATTAAAGAGACTATAGGGAAAAGAAACATAAATTAGAGGTCCTTGTAATTTTAAGATGCAATGAGAGAATTGTGCTTAGTCAAAATTTAATTGTAACTTTTATTTATTATATAATTATAACTTGTTCCAAAAAGAAAAATAATGCCCAATACACTTACATTAATTGAATACACATTTTTATTATAATGTTCCAGTTATATCAGCTTAAATAATTTTCAGTATTAGTTTGTTTTCTATTTCAGGTGCATGCCCTCCTCCTCCAAAAAAACAAAAGACCCTCTTTTTGTATTTCTTTATTGGACTTAATGTTACACCAGTATTTTGAACCTCATTTCTAATGTGTCCAGTACATTTGAAAAACATAAAGCACTTTGAATAGCTATTTCACTTTCATCAACCATCTTCCATTTTGTCGCAGATAAGTTTTCAGCTATTAATAGATTTTCATCAGCCTTGGCAAAATTAAAAGGCAATTATTCTACTTCTTCTTTATCAGTGTTAAAATCTGTATTGGTTTCTTTATCTTTTAATGAAATGCTTTGATCATCATTTGAATTAAAAAAGCACACTTTTTTTTCAAGGATTCAAATATCAAAACGTGGCATTCTGTTTTCCGTTTGAAATAAGCAAGAGCTGTTTACACAAAAATCTTTTCCTGTAACATGACTTTTACTGACCATATAATTCTTAGATTCAGTGGTTAAAGTTGATTGATATAATTTGCTGGGCAGAAAATGACATATATATTTGTCATTTATGTCATGTGGACATGTAGAACAATGAGTTACAAATGTAGATTTTTCTGTTCTTTTTTGCTATCATCGTAGCAGTCATTCAAAAGGTTTTTAAAAACCACAAATGCTAGCCATGCCTTTTTAATATTTATATGTGAATGTAGAAATCTGTTAGTGTTTTTGATGCTGTGAGATTTGAAACATTTCCCCATAACTAAAGATGAAAGTGTCTCACTTTCATTAACATTGTGAGATGGAACACAACCATGCTGTTTTTATCATCTATGCCACCATGGCAAATCTCTTCCTTGAAATCCGACATTTTTGTGTATAAGTTGCCCCCAACCTCTTTTCATTACAGCTGAATTTGTCTTTTCTATTGCAGCTAATTAATTAAAATTGTAGGTTTATTATTCATTAATTTGCACGTTCCTGCTCAAGTGATGTATGTTCTTTTCTAAGACAGTGAGTTTATAAAAATCATGTCTTTGCTTTAGCTTTTCAAACCATCTTCGAGAAGCTGAAAAATTTTAGATTTTAAAATTAGATGTTGAAACAAGTGCATTGCAGTGCGGGCATATTAGAAGCCATGATTCATCAAATCAAAGCTGATCCCAATATGAAAATTTTTTATGAATTTAATATTTTTGTAGAGGTATTCAAAATTTCCAATTTGGAGATTCATTGCCAAATATATATTTGATTCGCATAGTCTTGACAGAGTTTTGGGTTAACGTTGAATATTCTTTTGTTAAATGCCTTTGCTAAATTTGGTGGCTTGCCGATATTTTGACAGTTTGCCTCCAAGATTTTTTATTCAAAGGTTTGCGTGTTTTTTTTTTTTTTTTTTTTTTTTTTTTTTTTGTGTGGTGTGTGTGGTTGTGTGTGTGTGTATGTAACATTGATATTATTAAAATAAAAAATACATATTTTTTTAAATATTATAATCATAGAATATTTTTAAATATTGTAATCATACAATATTTTTATTTTTCCTTTCATAATTTAATGTGTATTTAATTTTCATTTTGGTGGCATAAATATTTTGTTTCTTCAAAATGAAAAAGGTAAATCAAATAATTTTTTTAAGAAAAAACAAAAAAGCTACTGTAATTATTTTAAAATTAATTTCATTTGCATCATGTATGAAGAATAAATGTATAAGAATTAGAATTAGTGTACATATTATTAATCATTAAGAAATTTAAATCAGAATTCATTTATTAAAAATTTCGGTTCTTTTAATCTCAGTTCTCAGAGTTCCAGAATTTATAACAGCTCACTCTAATTAAAAGGAAAGATAAAAGTAGTGATGTATACTGCTTTTTGCAAAGGATCAGTCAAACAGAAGTTGACTTAACCGCAACTATAAGAAAATAGACCAGTGGAGAATTTTTCTTATTTTCCAGGCAATTAAAACTAAAGATTTGACTTTTATGTACCTTTGTGAGAAAGAGAATAAAGTTTCAAATTTCTGCTATTGCAAAAGAAGTGAAGTCCATTGTAAAATAAGAGCTTTGTGTATGAAATTCTCATTGTGAATCCAAACAGCAAACTTGAATGTTTATCTCAGGGGTACTGAATTTTCTTTTACAGGAACTCTAGTAAATTTATTTTTAGATTCCATTTGGTTTAGGGGGGTTAAAGTAGTAACTAATTAGATAAAATTAAGTTTTGATTTTTTTAACAGGCCAGCAGTAAATAGGGAGCATTTTACTGAGATGTCTTGAGAGTTTCAGATTGTGTTGAGGTTGTTGGCAAGTTTTATCCTATTTGACTTAAGTAAAATTGTTAACTAAGTAAAATTATTAATTGAAGTAAAATATTAATTGAAGTAAAGCATTCAGGCAGGTATCCTTACACTGAAGGATCACCTCAGGACATGCTAAAGAGTTTTCGAAGGTCTGGGTTTGAAAAGATTATGATGGTGGGATTTTTGACAAACAAGGAAAGGGACAGTCTGCCTCTGAAAGTGCAGATTTTTTCTCCTCTCCTCTTAGTTGGAATCACGTCACCAGTCAAATTTAAGTACTCACCAATTTGCTCCCTTACATTTAATTTCGGCATATAACGCAATATATTGGGTTGTTCCGAAAGTAATTTCGTTTTTTTGGGGGGAACATGAAAGACAATTTTCGTATAATGAATAAATATTTTATTAAATTATATATTGGCCATTCTGGTCCAACACCTTTTGCCATCTTTCTGGCAGTAACATGATTCCCCACTCATAAAAGTTTTGGTGTCCTTGCTGGCAAAAAACTGATTCAGGTGGTTTTTGACATCTTCATTTGAGGTAAAGGTTTTACCATCCAAAACATTTTGCAGGGACCAGAACAAATAATAATCGGAAGGCGCCAGATCTGGAGAATATGGTGGATGTTGCAGTATGTCCCATTCAAGCTGTAAAAGCTTTTGGCAAGTGACCAAACTTGTATGAGGTCTCGCATTATCCTGGTGGAACACTACACCCTTCCTGTTGGTTAATTCTGGCCTCTTCTGTTTAAGTGCATCATTCAGTTTGTCCAGCTCATGACAATAGACTTCCGAATTAATAGTTGTATTGTCCGGTAAAAGCTCAAAAAAAAAAAAAAAAAAAAAAAAAAAAAAAAAAAAAAAAAAAACAATTCCTTTGAAATCCCACCAAACGGACAGCATCACCTTTTTTTGGTGAATGTTGGCTTTTGAAACGCTTTGAGCCAGTTCATCTTTTCTGCTCCATGACCTCTTGTGTTTCACATTGTTGTAAACGACCCATTTTTCGTCCCCAGTAATAATCCGCTTCAAAAATGGATCATTTTCCTGACGTTTGAGGAGCGAATCACACACGTCAACGCAACAACACAAATTTCGCTCCGTAAGGACATGGGGTACCCACACATCGAGCTTCGAGGTTAAGCCCAGGCCTTTCAAGTGGCCATAAACAGCCGAATTCGACAAATTTAACCTCTCACCAATCTCTCGTGTGGTTATTCGCCGATTTGCATCAACTAATGCCTTTATCACATCTTTGTCAGCTTCGACCAGCCTTCCAGACAGTGGTGCATCTTCGACATCAAAACTACTGGATCGAAACTTTGCAAACCAGTTCTGGCACTGGCGTACTGTTAACACGCCTTCTCCATACACATCCGTCAATTTTTTTCTCGCTTGGACAGCATTTTTACCTTTTCTGAAGTAAAAAAGTAAAATATGACGAAAATGCTGCTTATTGCTCTCCATATTTAAAAGTGCACCAACCAACTACTGCGTAGAATTAATAGAACTTTTTCACACACAAGTCTTGTAATATCAGCTCTCAAAGACATATAATGGTTATGCGGCTTAAGTGTGAAGTTGGTTTCGAAAAAATGTAATTAAGTCCTCTGACAGGAAAAAACGAAATTACTTTCCGAACAACCCAATAATATAATATTTTTAATAATAATTATCACCAGTCTTAAGGTCAGATTTAAGGCACCAGTCGCAAGTTTGATACATAACATTTACGTGCTTTTATATTTTTTTATTATAGTAGCTTTTTCTTATAATTATCTTAAAATTTCCCAATAGTCATTATTTTTCTTTGTAAAGTTCACTTTATACTCTTTTCTGATTTTTCTTTAAATCTGATTTCTATTCTTACAAATTTGGATAAGTATGATAAAAGGTTGTCTGTGGAGGCAATTTTTCTCTCAGGCTGTAAACTTTGTGCTTTGGAAGACTCTAGGAAGATTTAAATCGTGATTAATGGCTAAAAGTCCTGTAACAAAATGAAAGGTATATTAGTCATGGAATGTGAAACAGACATGTTTTGCAAAAAATTGTGAAAAATTTCTTCTTCTCTCTCTCCCCCTTTTTTCTATTTCTCCCTTCTCTTTTTCTTTCTTTCTTTTTTGTTTATTTCAATTTTATTTTTTTGAAAGGGGGAAAAAAAAAAAACAGTGGAGACAAAGTTGTTTTAATTTTTTACTTTCAACCCCAGAATCCTTTATTTTAATATGTTTATTTTTCCTTTACTTTCTCTTCTTTTATTTTTTTGCTTTTCACTATTCACAAGCATGTAGAAATTGTACAAAAATGATTCTAACCTTCTCCCATGGCATCTGTAGAAAGGAACTTCTGTATTAATAAAGATGCAGAAAACTGGCAGTTTAAATTATTCATCTTATATATCTGTCTCAATGCACCATCTATCATTTCACAAAGTTTAATACTCAGTATTGATAAAATTAGCAGTTTGTTTTGTGCATCTTGTATACAGCCAGTGTTTTAGAACATCAAAAATCTTTAAGTAAATCTGAAAATTCAAAAATGAAGAGGAAACTGTTTAGTTAAAGAAAATTTTTCAATTATGTGTGTAATTTTGCTTTATTGCGATTCTAATATAGTACTTTTAACAAATAAGTAAAGGAAGTAAAGTAAGTAAGTTTTAAGTAAGGGATTTTTTTTTTTATAGTGACTATGTAAATCTTCTTTAAAATATGTGTGACTACACTGTTTTCCAGAAGCGTATGGTGAAAATTAGCAATTTTTGAAATTATTGTTGAATTTGAGTGTTGAAAGTCATGAAATATGAGTGCAGATGACAATACACTAATGTCAAATGTTACAGCCAGTTATAATTGACTGTTCAAATATATGTTAATTAAGCAATCATTGTACATTTGAAGATGGCAGCATTCTGAAACATTTGAGGAGGTTCATGTAAATACTGATTTGAAATACTAAATAGTATTTATATATTTTTTTTATTTTCACTGAAAAACAAATGAGTACATTTTTCCTGCACTAAATGCCAAGCAATCTACTTTTTTTTATTTTTTGAATTTTATTAGTAATTTTTTTATGACTTCAAAATTTTATTTTACGTATTTGAAAAAAAATGCTTTGATTTTTTGCAGCTAAACCTGACTGTTCTCTTCATCCATTAATTTGGGATCCATTACAAAAATTGATCAATTGTGAACATACTGTAGCTTGTATTCATCCAGCATGGATTTGTGATGGACAAGATGATTGTTGGGACATGTCAGATGAAAAAGACTGCGAAACAAGTGTGTTGAAGATCTTTATTCAAATTTGCATTTCAGCTTTTTCTTAGTCAAAATTAATAATTCTACTATTTTGTTTTGTGTAATGTAATATTACACCTATGTAAGTGATATCTGGTATTATTCTGTATGATTAAACTAATACGGAAACAGGTGGGTTTATCTTTAAAGCTTACATTTACAGAATAGTAGCTAATACATAAAATGAAAATAGTTATAGTTCTTATATAGAAATCTTAAGTTAATAGTATTCTATGTCCCTTGCTTTAGTAATATGCAATCTTCCATTGGTCCCCAGCATTCACTTTTGTTGTTTTTATGAGGGAAAATGAATTTGTTAAGAATTATGCGAGATGAATAGGAGCTCTGTGAAATCTGATGTGTTGTATCTGGGCATCAGTAATTAGATCTTGATTATATGGACATTGTCCGTACAATATAATCAAATCCTTGCAATACTTGCTGAAGCATATCTTGTATTGTCATCTGTAGAAGAAGCTTTTGATATTATATAAGTTTACAAGTAAAGGATGGGAAAAAATAACCTTCTTAACATGAGCAAGAAAGATATATAGTGTTAGAACCAGTGGCTAAAATCCCTAATGCAGTATGAAGTCAGTTCTGCCATTTACAATATCATGGCTTTATACAAACATCCTGCATATTGGAATTTGTGACTACCTGCAGATTCTGTTGACAAGTGATGAAATAATCCTGTAGCCTCAGTTTCACTGATGTCGATTACCATCTGAAACTGCAGCCATATGATGCATTTTTTTAACAATTGTCATTTCCCACAAAAGGTATTGAAAAAAATCTTCCAGAGTTATGAAAACAGATAGTGCCTTCACTTAATGACATTCTAAAATCAAAAATTCACTTTTGATGCACATCAAGTGAATTTATGGTGAGCTCTATAGAATTATGCTGATAAGCAGTCAGGTCATTCATTTTGAAAAAGCCAATATTGTATTATTTTTTCATCTTAAAAAAAAAGTATTTCCTTCTGTATGAAATGTTCACTTTCCTTTCATTTTGTGTAAAATATCTGTAGCTAAGGAAAGTGTAAAAGAAATGGAAAGAAGTTTAAAAACAGAAAATGATAGACTACTTTTCAATAAAAATATTTGTAATATATTTTATATTAATAGAAATTTAAAGACCACTTAACCCCTTCAGGATGGGTGTATTATATATGCATGAACAATTAATTCTTTTACGAGATGGCATGCCACTTAGTGTAACTCGCCTTGGAGACAGTGAGCTGTTGCAGTAGTACAATCTAGCAAGATGGGATATTTCTCATCACTAAGCCTAACTTTTAGAAGAAATTCATCAAAAATACTTTTTCATCAATTGTTTTGATTTTTTTCTGTATTGGTATTTAACACTAATATAATCATAAATACAGAATATCAAGAGATTCTGAAAAAAAAATTAATTAAAACCTAAATACAAAATAAAATATTTGACTCATCTTGATAAAATGTTGTAAAAAACTCATTTAAATCTCTATCTAAATACAGTCAAATACCAAAAAACCGCCAACTCCTGAAATCCGCGTTGCCTCTCAAAATATAACATTCAGTTTATAGGATACGGAAACCGCAACATTGAGTACGAAATATTGAAGAAAAAATGCTTACCGAGTAATGACGTCATAATTACTGAATAATAATGAGTCATAACGGAAATACCAAATTATTGACATCATGATAAAAGTTTTTTCCCCTCTAATTGAGGTAAAAAAGCAGATAATTCACTCAACTCTTCTTTCAAGTTTACGATTCACATTGTTGTATTTTCTGAGCTTTGTTATTTCATGAGATTATTTAGTGCTGCCTTTTTCTTATCAGGATATTTTATGGATAAATTAAGAATATTTTAAATTTAACCCCTCTTTAATACAATTGCAGATAAGAAACACACTCATGATTTTATTGCTTGCAACGTTGGAAAACGTAAACACGTTGCGTTGACAGTAATGCAAAAAGTGCAAATTCCGCAAAAGATGGAGGCAGGTTCCACTCCTCAGTTTATGGCAGAATTGTATGGAATTGCGACATGATTGTGTATGATACATGGAAAAATAAAGAAAAGCTGCTGAAACTTTACAGCAACAGTGATTCTAACACCGGAATCCAAAAGTGAAAAACTTTGCATGAGGCGAAATCAGCAAACCTGGATGCTATGTACATATAATTCAATGAATAATATAATCAATTTATATATGTAATAATAATTTAATGCATATAATAAATTATTGCAATAATGTATATAATAATTTAATTAAATGTATTTAGTATGTGTCTTATTTATTTTGCACTTTGAGTCTGAATATAATGATTTATCTTTTCTGTCCTGAAATCCACAAAGTCCTAAAATCCGCACAACCTCTGGTCCCAAGCTTTGTGGATTTCTGGACTTTTACTGTATACTTAAAAATAATAAAATATATGATCAAATATTATAATATAAATGATTCAGAAAGGAGACAGTGTACGATAATCTAGTATATGCACATCTAGAGAAGTATGTTGATTTTGAATGAAGATGAATTTTCAGTCATCTTTTGTTCATAGAAATTACAGAAATCCACAACGCTCATTACCAGAGGTTGTGTGGACTGTAGGATTTTGCAGATTTCAGGACAGAAAAGATAATATTCGGACTAAAAGTGCAAAATAAATAAGGCCTTTTAGATACATTTAATTAAAGTATTATACAGTCAAAAGTCGTTAATCCGGACCTCAAAGCTACAAACTTTCTGCGCATGCGTCAACGCATAATGCGCTCACGCATGCACATAAGCGTTTATGCATGCACGTAATACATTTACGCATGCGCATAACGCGTTTACGCATGTGTGTTTAATATATAACGGACGGTATAAGCTAAGCTAAATTATTATCTATTTCAGCTAATGTTGTAGATTGCATTGTTCCTTAATCTTCTAATTGGATCCACCTTATTATTTTTTGCAGACTGTTAGAGCAATTTTATAAAAGTAAGCTTCGTCAACGCATAATGCGTTCACGCATGCACATAAGCGTTTATGCATGCGCGTAATACATTTACGCATGCACATAACGCGTTTACGCATGTGTGTTTAATATATAACGGACAGTATAAGCTAAGCTAAAATTATCTATTTCAGTTAATGTTGTAGATTGCATTGTTCCTTAATCTTCTAATTGGATCCGGCTTATTATTTTTTGTAGACTGTTAGAGCAATTTTATAAAAGTAAGCTTGAACTTTCGATTATGTCAAATAGAATTTCCGATATACATTTACTAATATGTAAAGGATCTACAAAGCGAAAGTATGTTTCGATGTCCATCAAACAAAAAGTGGAATTGCTGCAAAAAATGAATAAAGGCATATTTTTTCTTTCTCTAACCATTCCGAAATTTTTTTATCAATTTCACGCTGTTCTGTGGGGGGGGGGCATCATGGCGCTCAATTAACTGAATGTTTATCTGTCAACACTATCCTTATCTTCAGGGCAGATGTTTTTATTTTATTCAGCTTATAATTCCTTATTAAATGAAGTATTTCATCTCGATGCATTCCGTATTTGATATGATTTAAATCAAATTCCTCGCCATTCTAAATATCACGAGTACACATCAAATAGTTTTCTGATTGCAATTTTCTAATTTCAACTATGTGTAATGTATGCTTTACGCATGCACATGTTGAAAGAAATGTTTAATAAAGTAAACAAATAAATATTAAGCTCTTTTTTTTTTTTTTTTTTCTAAATTTTGATACTCTTTAGATCATAATTGCTGTTTATTTCACAAATTACGATTTCATTTTTTTAATTTTATAATTTCTGCATGCCATTTTACCAGATTTAAACTGATGATCTATAATCTGGAATTGCCGAGGTCCCGACGAGTCCATATTAAAGACTTTTGACTGTATACATTAATACAATAATTAATTAAATGCATTAAATTATTATGACATATATAAACTGATTATATTATGTTGTTCATCTAGATTAGGCTCCTCTATTTTTAAATCAGCATGAATCTGCTTCCCCTTTTCTCTCAGGAGTAGTCCTGAAATAAGTACCCCATCACTCCGCTGCTGCCGGAACCACTCGTACAAGACAGCATCGAGGTTTGCCGATTTCGCCTGATGTAACTGTTGCTTTAAAATTTCAACAGCTTTTCTTTATTGTTCTGTATATCATATACAGTCCATGCGGCAATTCCTTACGATTCTGCTATAAACCGAGCAGTAGCACCTTCCTTCATCTTTAGCAGAATTTCCACTTTTTTCATTACCATCAATGCAATGTGTTTACGTTTTCCAACGTTGCAAGCAGTAAAATCACGAGTGCGTTTCTTATCTGTCATTGTATTAAAAAGCTCTGAAATTTAAAATATTCCTTATTTATCCACAAAATATGCAGATTTTAAAAAAAAACGACATCACTAAACAATCTCGTGAAATAACAAAGCTTATTAAAAGTACAACAACGTGAGGCGTAAACTTGAAAGCAGAGTTAATTGTCTGCTTTTTTACCTTGATGTAGATTGGAGGGGAATACTCTTATCATGATGTCAATAATTTGGTATTTCCGTTATGACTCAGTATTATTTGTTAATTATGACGTCATTATCCAGTATGTATTTTTCTTCGATATTTCGTACTCCATGTTGCAGTTTCTGGAACCTTTAAACTAAATGTTTTTATTTTGAGAGGCAACGTGGATTTGAGGTCAATGGATTTTTGGTATTTGACTGTATTACTTTCTTTTTCATCAACTATTACTTTCATTTTCATCAACTGTATTACTTTCTTTTTCATCAACTATTATGATTAGATTATTGAAAAAAAAATCAATTTCATTTTTATAACTTTTAATTAAGTTTACTTCTGCAGTTCCCGTAAATTCAGAAGACTTAACAGTCGAGTTCATGATGGAATAGCCACTGTTCTGCTTGGATTGTGAGGTGAAAGCAAAACAAACTTCTAATTCAGTCTTTGAGAAAATTCCGGTGTCAAAATTGCCTTTCTCACTTAAATCTGGAGATTTCGGTGTCAAAATAGTCACTCATAAGTGCAAATGGACACTCATGGGCTTTACAGTTTGAATATATTCTTCCTCCGTTAAAAATTTCTTTTTGTTAGACATTGCGCTATTAGTTTAACTCTATTACCCGGTGCAAAAAACTTACTTCTGCTATCTGAAGAAGATGCAAACTGAATACAAACTGGAGTTCCTAAAACCAATGGGGGGGGGGAATTTAGAAGTATCAGAAACTGTTCAATGTTTTTATCACATGAAGTCAACTGCAGGTCAGCTGGGTTTTGTTTACTTTATATCATCTGCTTGTACATCTAAACGAATCACCAGAATCAAAAAGTACTTCACGGACACAAGTTCAACAATGTATATGTTCAAATAAGCTAACCATAGTGGACATAGAGTGCCATCTAATGCTTTAAAAAAATTCTATATGAATGTGTTTGTTTGAGAATGCATATATGCAACACCTGTCTAGAAGATCAATGCAAGCAGTGATGCACCAGTGCATCAGCCACCTGCCAGCAACATTTGGGACTGATGCATATATGTCACACCCATCTGCAGAGGGTTTTTAGTTCAGCAACATTCCGTCATGAAGGGGTTAAAGACCTCTTAACTCATATTTATGTAAGGAATTATTGGAATCTCTGTATCTGCTCTTGCACTACAAGTGATTAACACATATATCTAGCTACTGAAGGATCTGTGCTTCAAATTCTGACATGGGTACTGTTGGTTTCTTATATTCCCAGCTCTGAAAAAATGCAGTAGATATATAAATAATGGCACCTGACTAAAAATGTTGTCACATCATGAGCACTCATTTAATTGACTGGATTTCATGCTTCTTGTTAGTCATTCTTTAAGTGGAGAAGAATGTAAGAAATTATAACATATATCCAAATCTTACCGGATGTTGGTTATCCAACTAGCAATTGAAAGATCGTGCTTTGAAATCATGTCAAGATCATAGTTAGTTTGTCATGTTTCTTAACTCTGAGGGGGGGGGAGAAAGAAAAGAAAAATACAGTAATGTGTATGTGTTTATTCTTTCATATGGACATAAGAGTGTTCTTAAGGTATTTTCATGTACATACAATTTAATAATTAAAGATGGACAGAAAATTGACAGAATGGTTAATATGCATTGCATTTTTAAAATTGAAAATGTTTTTAAAATTAAGAACCTTACAATTTAATAATTAAAGATGGACAGAAAATCAACAGATTAGTTCATATGCATTTCATTTTTAAAATTGAAAATGTGTTTAAAACTAAAATATTGAGCTACATTTTTTAAAATTAAAGATAAAATTAAATTTGCATTTTATTAGTTATTAAATTTCAAGCTAAAATGCATCTATGTAAAGGCAAATTTTCACTTTTGAAATTTTTTACATTTTTTTAATGTATGTATGAATTGCTGCATACATCTGTATTTATTTGTTAATTTCATAATTATTACTAGTGATACTTTAATAGGATTCTGATATATTTTATTGTGTTTTATTTCTAGAAGTTACAGAAACATCTTGCCCATCAAATTCATTCCAGTGTGAAGGAGGAGACTTGTGTATTCCAAAGACTTGGAAATGTGATAGAGATGATGATTGTAATGATGGAGGAAATGGAACTGTAAGCTCAGATGAAAGGGGATGCAGTAAGTTCAGTGCTTTGAAAAGCCATTTTAAATCAATAAGCTGTTTTAACTTGTGTAATAACACTTGGAGGTTGGAGTTATAGACTTTGTATGAAGGTACATTTACAAGGCATATTTCTTTTGTATAAAAGATTTGGGTGTTTCATTTTATTCCTATGAGAAAATAGTGGGAAAAAAAGTATTTTACCTGCTGTTTTTTACACACATTTTCAATGAATGTAGTATTTTACCCAAAAAGTAGTATAAAAAAAAGTATTTTAACCTGTTTTGTATTTCATACATTTTCAAGAGGTCAGACTCTTGATGGTATGGTTGTTAGTCAAGACTAGGTACAAGTATGAAACGAAGGATCTGGGTTTAACTTCTAAGAAACTTTGCTGTATGTGTGTTGTCCTTTCTCTCTCCATGCAAGTGTAATATCAGTCATCTCTGTTATAGATGAGCAGTATTTTCAGTTATAGATAGTTAAATGGCCAATAGACTCAAGCATAATTTGGAGGGGGGAAATAATCATTGTGTCACAACACAGTAAAAATTGTACTTTCTGGCAGTGTGCTGTGCAATCAATGACACATCAGTCCATATTATATATATGCTGGTTGGAATTACTGCTAAAAAATCACTAAATTCCTATAAACTGTAATAATTTGCCACAATTCTTGCTTGTGGTGGATTTTGCTAGTTATCAGTAGTTTATTTCTTTAGTTAAAATGAAAGTGAATTAAAATGTAGATAATTACAGTAGCAGATGCTGAATCAGCAGAGATAAAGAGCCTTTGATGTAGCTGAACTTTCCTAATTTTTTCCATGACTTTTTATCACACATAGAAAGAGAACTGGTGAAAGAAAGTGTGCGGAAGGGGGGGGTAGAGAACAAAGAAGTTTATTAAAGTTATTTGCAGAAATTCTGTAATTAAATTTTAAAAAAGAAGTAAATGTTGCAACAAATGTATTAAAAAATAAAGGATGAAATAAGTGAGAGGGTAGAAGTGAAGCATTAATAGTTAAACACGTGATGGTACCTAGCTAAAATTAGCATAGCAAGAACAAAATTTCAGAACTGATATTGCAGGAATAAAAATTGTTTGGTTAAGTATATTTAATCGAGGGAGTAGAAAGTAATCAAGTGATTCAAAACTGTTATAGATGACATAGTTTTGATAAATTTGACATAGTTTTGATAGCAGTGATGTAATCATTAACATGAAATTAAGTTGTAAGTAGCATAAAACAATATAAAATTGATGTAAAAAACATAAAACTAATATGAAATAGGTACTGTGTATGGAGCAGTAAGAAAATTGCATTGAAAAGTAATAATTAAAGCAAGCAGCTTAAAAGGATTCAAAGTAATAGCTAAATTAATAAATGTCCGATTTCTGCTGTGTTTTTTATTTGTTTATTTGTTTATTTATTTTTATATTTTACTTGTAAGAAAACTTATCATGTGAGTTTTATGTTGTCATTTTTGCACAAAATGATTTAATATATTAATAAGCTGAATAGTCTGACTTGTTTGCATAGAGTATGGTTGCCGCACTGACCAGTTTCAGTGTAATAATCAAGATTGCATTCCCGGTGTTTGGAGATGTGATGGCCACCCAGACTGCTTGGATAAATCAGATGAAACTGATCACTGCAGTAAGTATTTCTATATCATTAAGAAACACGGTGAGCTAATATTTTGCAGAAAAATTTGCTTTCTTATTTTTCAGCTCCTAGACATTTGCATGTCTGTAATGGGAATACTAATTGTATGCAAAATTTATCACTTCTTCTCCTCTCCTCCTCCCTTTTTTAAGTATAATTTTATTTTTCTACTCAAAAATGTCTCTGGAATGAAAAGATTTAGTAAAAAGCTTTTGTATATGTAAATCAATGTAATGATTTTGGACCATTGTAACTTAAATATATGCTGCTAATTATTTTCTTATGTGAAGTAAAAATCCTGTTTCAATCAGATGCCAATTTCAGTCAATATCTTAATTCAGTCAAAAAGTCCTATTTCTGTCATATGTTTGAAAAGCTGGAATTCTGCTCAAAATTATACTATGAATACCAATTGCAAAAACTTTTACTAAAAATTGTCTGTTTTTTTAATTATTATTGTCATTTATTTTTCATAACATTGTTTAAATAAGAGTAGTGTATAGGCAATAAATGCTGTACCTCCTGCAGTCACTGCAAGGCATCTCAGATGTGTTTAATAACACTGAGTTCTGGTGATGTTGATGACTTTAACAAGGCTTTAGCAAGACTTTAGCAAGGCTCCAGACTTAATTGAGTGTTCTGCTAATTATAATTTGCTGTGCCTAAATTTGCTGTATCATAATATATGCATATTGTCTTGTTAGAAGAATATGAACCGATCAAAATGCCATAAATGAGTGAAGATAGCTCCTCAGAAAGGATATGAGCATGATGTTCACTGGTTGAAAACATTTGTTCATGTATGTAAGCTCCTTTGAATGCCTGCTAAACAAACCCCATGCAGCCTTTACAGAGCCACTGTAAGCTTCATAATGTATTGTTGAAATGTGGGATACATGGAGTCATAATGTTTTTTCCACACATATATCTTTCCATCTATCCCAAACAATCCATTTATGTATTATTTTAAACAGATGGAAGGTTCAGATCAAGCTCTTTGTGTCCAGTCTTTGAATTTTCAAATCCAGGCAAGCTCCATAACTCTATATCATGCTTTTTTGAGGAGAGCTCTGGTTCAATATCAGTTTCTAAAACTGATATGATGAAGTGAATGTTCCACAGTCCTGATGATGTTTATTCAGACCAGACATTGACTATTAGTTACTTGGACACTGATGTATCCATATCATGTGAAATGATTCTTGCCATCTGATAATCATCAGTTTTTCAGCAGCAATCAAGTCCAAAACTTTTACAGAATCCTTTTAATTGCAGTAAACTTTTGGAATTGTTATATATAAAAATTCACACTTTTTTTTTTACCTCTAAACTGCTGTTACCCATATCATAAGCTGTAATTATTAGATGACAGTGCAAAGTCTTTAAATTGTAAAAGCTTGTCATTATCAGGATGGAAACAGCTCTAGAATCTTCTGTAGATATCTGTCATTGGTGGACACAAGCAGTGATATTCAGGTACCACTCACATGCTACATATACTCACATGTACTGTTTTCCTTAAATTTGTTTTGGCATTTTTATGCATGTACATTCAAGTGCCAAAAAAATTGGGGTAGGTAATATAATCAAGAATATGGAGCAGTCTGCTATTTCTGTAATGATTTCATCTAAAGAAGCATATGTATAGTGATAGACATCTCTGACTGAGCTCTGAAGATGGCATGTTTTTGCCTTTATGTGACTTTCAGTGAGATAGTGCTTATAGGTACTTGTAGATGTGTCTTGATGATGATCCAATATTTTGGATATGTAAGTAAAGTTGGTTTTTAAATATTATAGTATTAAGTTTGAATATATGATTTTAAGGGTGTGTCTCAAATACATTAAATATAAAGCAGCTTTGATGTATGTATACATCAAAACATCGAATGATCATGACAAGCATCATCAAGAAACAAGCATGCAGTATTACTGAACATAATATCACAATTCAGTGCAAGCATCTCTACTAATTTCAGCGTTAGGATTGTAAAGTATTCCCAGCATGATATAGGTTTGTAATTGCTAAAGACCCATAAGAATGCATTTCTTTGTCTTGTAACACAGAGCTGTGCATCTCGCCTGATTTTAGCACTAGATTGTAGAAGGCTTTAAAGAAAAGTAGCCTGGTCTAACCAATCACATTTCCAACTGATCAGTGTGGTAATTCACAGGTGGAGGAACACTGTGATGCATCCAATCTGTATGTCAACATGTTATTTTTACTTTTGCAAAAAGTTTTCAGAAACAAAATTACGGATTCTAATTGCATCTTGTCATGGCTACATATGATGTATTGATGGATTTTTTTTAATGTTTTGCAGAAAATTGCTTAATTTAATTTTTAAATAACTTCATTTAAAAGTACTCAACCTGTTTCATGTTTTCTATTCTGGTTTTGTGTTCTTTTTTTAGGAGTGTTTTCTTGTGTTCTTTCATTTTACTTCTTTAAATTGCATGTGTTGCATAAAAGAAATTCTATATTTTTTTAATTGTTGTTTGTTGAAATATATTAAATAATTTTAGTGTATTTTTCCTTTATACTTATTTTTTGTGATTTCTTCGTAATTGTATGATATAGCTTTAAATCAACAAAAAACTAAATATCAATATTATTATTAATTTTCTTTGTAAATAATGGGATATGTAATATGACGATCAGTTGCCAGTGCATTTTCAACTGTTGACTTTAACTTGACCTTTTGATCACCATTGACCCCTTTTAGAATTTCTCTGATCCTCAGGGGTTCATTACCAACCCTAGTCTATGTTATCCCCTAACTGTTCTTTTTTTTTTTTTTTTTTTTTTTTTTTTCCCCCCCATACTGGATTATAGTGAATCGAAATTGACTACAGTAAGACATTGCGAGGTCATGCCAGTGACCAGAGTCAGACATATTATTTACTATATTAATAAATAAATTATTACATAATATATTGTATGCAAGAGTCATGTGTCTCAGACCTTTCTAAATTTCATGACACCTATGCATGTAGTTGCGATAAATTGTATACCATGTATGTAAAGTTGCTTCGGAAGAAAGAGGGAGAGAAGATTCCTAAAAGAAAATGATGTAGTAAATTATTATAACTAAATGTATGTGATTCTTAACTGCTAATTAGAAATAATAAATGAATTAATACAGATAAATATACATAATTGTACAATAAGCAAAAAGTGCACCAAAACTTTCCATGACCCACCCAAAATTCTCTACCAGTGTTTTTGTGGGTCACAAACTATACTTTGAGAACCACTTTGTAGAGTATACTCTCTCTGTTTTTATTAGGAAAATAAGATATTTTGAGATTTAAGCTTAACTGCAAGAAAAAATAAGAAATGGAGAACTGTAGTTGTACTATGCATTGTAATATGCTATTTCAAAAGATGGCAAGAATTAAAATAATTAATTTTTTTTGCACTAATAACTTGTAGGTAGTTTTCAAACAATTGCAGTATCACTGTCATTATTAAGTAAAGAGTTAATAAAGATGAAAACTGTGATAACAGAGAAATAATAAAACAGTAAGAATACTAGTTGCAAAAGGAAGGCAGATTTAGCAGCAAAATATGAATATAAAAACTGCTAAATCAGATGGATAATGGATACTGTATGGATATCCATTGCCACCGTACCACCAAACCAGTGTATAAGCTAAAAATTGTGTGAATGTAAGGGGTCATCTATGTATGATAGGTAAGCAGACATAATTTCATAATAATCATTTCTTTTTTCATATGTTGGTTAAAAAAATTTTTCATATCTGAGCTGCTACTTATTTCACTTCCATTGTAATCCTTTATTACTTGACTTTCCTAACAGATTATTGTTGTCTTTTGTTCTATTGATGTAAATTGCACAGGGTTCGTAGCGGTCCTTACAAGTGCTTACAAGTCCTTATATTTGAAAATAAAATATAAAGGCCCTTATAGGTGCTTACTTTTTCTTTAAAGCCCTTTATTTTTTTTTTTTTTTTAGTGCTTATTTTTTGCTTTTAGTGCTTTTTTTTAATCCTTTTTTTTTAATGAACGCGCATTTTTTTCCCGTACTAAAGCCGAAACTAAATAAACATCTTTTATTATTTAAATGCAACGTCAGATGGTGAATCATGCTCCCGGAAATTGCTTTTCCCCCTTTCTCTGGAAATTGCTTTTCTCCCTTTCATTTCATAGCTGTAACATATAGTGCGCGCGAGAGTGCAGACAGGTGCACGTCGTTCTATTGGTCAAAGAATTGCGAAAATGGTAGAAAATTCCGGTACATTCGGTATTGTTTTCCTCCCAACCAAATACTACACACGTTTTAATTTCTATCAAGATTTTAATAATTTACATTCTTGTTCCGCGTGGTGAATTCATATTCGTGTTTATTATGACCGCTATGCTTATATTATGAGCATATGCATGAATATTTATAATAATATAGTTGCAGTAACTGCTGAAGTATAGATAAACTTCCAAAAATTCGGTGTGTTTTTACACAGATTAGCTTTCTAGGGAATAATATTCGGAATGGCTTAAATAAAAGGAAAGTAATCGAATAGTAAAAAAATTTTTTTTCCCAATACATTTTACAGTACGGAGGTTTGGAGGTTCTCCCCTTTCTCCGCAAAATCTCTAATATTGAAGCACCGGATTTATTTTTTGTCACTGTCCAATCTGGATTGAATAGGACTAAAAGTTCTTGTGGTCTACCCAACCCAAGCGAAGAATGATTCTATTCCGGAAATTTAACGCAGTCTGTTGAAAATTAGAATCAGAAACATCCCAGATTAGTAAGTCTCTTTCTTTTCCTTTATTTAGTTCTTTATTCTCCCGAATACCGGCAGCAGTTGAATTCCTGATTGCGTAATATCACATGTGGAAGGATACAATTGCGCAATACGCCGCACGTATTGTGCAATAATGTTTGCAATATTTTGCAGAGATATTATTCATTTTGATGTTCAGTCTGAGATTTGTTTATGAACACTTAAACAGGAGTTTTACTGTGCTTTCTAAAGCAGAATATTATCTCAGTTCCGTTATATTATTATTTTTATATGATGCACATATCGAAATGTCAAATCATTTATTTATTTAGCCGAGAAATCTAAAGAACGGCTACAATCTTCCCCAACTCCTCTTTTTCCAGTTACTATACGGAATATTCGGCAATTTCCCGAGTATGCGGGTTAGTTAAGCTTTTACTGTTAAAGAGATGACTGCATGAAGCAATTTCCCGTCTTCTGATTTCAGAAATGTGCTTCTTTTTTACTTAAATTACTTTGCTTGGAAATATATGTAAAGGGAAAACTGTTATGCAATGAAAATTTAGAAAATGTTCAGAATTTTGATTTAAGTTAAATTATTTAAATATTAATATGAGTAAAAAAATAAATTGTATTTATTTAATTAGGTGCCAAACGAATACAATAATAAATATGGCTTATTATTATTATTTATTGTCTATATTTTGAACTGAAATTTCATCGTTAAATCTTGCAATATAGTTTTAGTTCTGCATAGTTTTTTTTTTTTCTCTCATTGTAAACCTAAGTTCTGTAAATTGAACTGTTCATTTAAAATTTTTAAAAAAAAAAAAGTTAATTATTTTCCGTGGTTGAGGTAATGCTCATTCTATCTTAATAAATACTGAATTAATACTGAATCTTAATAAATACTGAATTTTTAAATTACCAGTCTAATTTTTCTTTTAAGGTTATGCAGTTGTGTATAATTGTAATTAGACAGGTGCTTATTTTTCCTTAAAATGTGCTTGAAAAGTGCTTATAGGTGCTTATTTTTTTAACTAAAATGTGGCTATGAACCCTGATTGCAGATATGAAGGTATAACTGTGTAAGCTTTGAAAATTTCTTTTACTAATAAAATTTTTAATGTATAAGTTCTTGTGTATTATGTTTTTACAAAATTTATTTTGTGTAATTCTTTTAAAAAAAATTCATGGTTCTAATATTGTTTCAGACACACGTCAGTGTGGTGAACGGGAGTTTCGCTGCAATAACACTGGACAGTGCATTCCACAGAACTGGGTTTGTGATGGTGAAAATGATTGTGGGGATGAAGAAGCATCTGATGAACATCCTAGCAGAGGCTGCTGTTAGTCTCAATGTTAAAATAAAATTCTTTTGTAATCAGTTTCTGATCATATATGATCAGAATCATATTTTGTAATTAGTTTCTGATCATATAAAGTGTAACATATATGCTCATTTTCAAGTAGAACTATGTTAGACTACTTGAAAATGAGCATATTTGTTACACTTTAATTATTCATAAAACTGTTATTTTGAGATGTTTATAAATAGTTAATGAAATTTTCAAAAATGAACCAAGCAGTTACTTTGTTCAAGGTTATTCTTTCATGTATAATCTTGCACTAGGTAATTGCATGATGCTGGTAGCTTTTATGATTTTACTTTCTAGGATATCAGTTTAAAAAATGGTTATGGTATTTTTAAAGAAATTTTCAGTGTGGTCTGCAGTATAATGTGACATTTGTAGCTTTTTAATTGTTTAATATGCATTTTATCTTGGCTTTAAAAATATTTGAACTAAAAGGTCTTATTTAGTTTATGCAAACCAGATTCATATTGTGCTTGTATCTAACATTGAAAAAAATGTTGTATGCTAATTTAACTTAGTACCTAATTAATATGATCGTGCAACTGATTGATTATAATAATCATTTTTAATTAAACCGTATTATATGAAGCTAAATTTTTTGGAGGGGGAAGGGAGAATTCTTTGTAGAAGCGAGGAAAGTTCTCTGCACAATTATTTTTATTATAATAAATTTAAGAAGCTTCACTGAAATTATTTGCTCAGCTAATTCAATCTAATAATGTAACATCCAATAAGTAAAATGCATTTTGAAATTGATATAGCAGCATTTCAAAGAGTGTAACTTCTAATATCGAAATAATGCCTGATAGCATCTTCTTCATGACTGTCACTATTTATTAATTGAAATAAAATCTCTGAAATTTTTTATCAGATTTCTAGAAAAGCTAATATTCTTTCTTTTAACTAAAAACAGGTTGTGCATGAGCTAATTCTGTTACAATAATAAAAAGTGTCACTGTCAAATTATAAGAATTCAGTTTGCACTAAACTTTAATATAAAAGTTCATTAAATGCATCACTTAAATACTGATTTATGTCATTTTACTTCAATGCAGAGTTTTTCGAGTCATAAAATAATTTTAAGTTCTCAAAGTAATCCTGTTGCATTTATAATCTGGAATGTGAAGAGAGTTAGGGTGTTCAACAATATTAATATCATGTCCAAAAAACCGATAGCACTCTGTAGTAATAATTAAATATAAGCAAATATCAAAATTATCCCTTACAATATTCATAATATTTTTTCTGTCTGAAAGGTATTGTCTTTAACTATAGCTCTGCACATAACTTCCAGGGTGTAAAACCTTTTTCTTTATTTGTCAGATCAAGTTTAGATTACTTACACATTTACAAGTTGAAAGTGTTTTACACAAGCTCTTGTGCACCATTGATTTTTTATTCTTGCATTGACCTAGATTCAAATCCGAGTAAATGCATTGGCTCCTTAGGTATTTCCTTGAATTTCTCTGTATATTATATCAGTTAATTTCTCTTAGAGTTTTTAATGAAAGCTTTCGGTAGCTAACTTTCCTGTGCTGCACCATAATTGTTAAACTAAACACAACCAAAATTAAACTCGGAAGAAAGCAGTGGAACAGATGTTAATGAAAGGATGGATCTAAAAATATAACAAGCATTTAGTTAAAAGAATGAGGTTTAGTTTAATTTTTCTTATTCAGTTTTACAAAAATTAAGTCATCTAGTAGGATGCAGATGTCTGCTAGAGACTTAGTTACAGTAAAATCAGAAGAACATACATTAATAAGTGCTTTAGTTGCTTTCTTACCATCCACACCCCCACTGAAATATCATAAAATTGTTGCTGACTTAGGGGAGGATTTGCAAACTTGTTTCTGACTATTTTTTATCAAGCTAATGATGAAAGGCAACAACTATTTTCAAAATGGTGGGCACACACTAGAGCAATCAATCAATAAAACTAAAAAAGCATGGTGAACATTTCCAATAAGGCAAATTAATATGAGATAGTCCCTTATATTATGCTTCTCAGTAAATAATTTTTTTAATGCATTTTATTTTTACCTCTGCAGTGAAAGTTTTTAAAGTATATTTGATTGACTTTTGGATGGTGGTTTGACTGTACGTTTTCTTTCAGATGAGGTTATTGCTGACTAGTTGCTTTAGAAAAACTGCTTGTTTTGTTGAAATTTGCATATAATTTTAAGAGAATTAAGGAATTCCTTTCATATGTTCTTGTGGTGTTAGGTTTTACATATTAGTGTGACACACTGAAGATCCTGTGTTCAGTTCAGCTCTGGGCAAAGGCACAGTTTATTTTCACAATCATCTTGCTTGCAAAATAGTGTTGATCTTTATAATAAAATGTATTACAGATTTAAATATGGTGATACTTCCTTCCTTTTTGTACTGTTCTTTTTAATTTAATTTTAAAGTGAAACATCTTTTAGGTATGTTAGCCTTTGATAAATGTAAAAGTTCTGTAATAAAATTTGTTATTGTAAACTATTAGAACTTTGCACTTTTGAACTTCTGATTAAGCTCTTTGTGTTGTGTTATTATAATATAGGTCAGATTTTGTTATACTGTAATTATTATTCTCTAATGTTAAACCAAGTTTGGTTTTTATATATCTTCCTTTCTTGCAGTGGAAAATGTGTGTAAACCTAATGAGTTTCAGTGTTTGAATTTTGTATGCATAATAAAAAGTTTTTATTGTGATGGGGATAATGATTGTGGAGACAACTCAGATGAGCCACTACTTTGCCGTGAGTATTAATTATATTTATTGGCTTGATTAGTATATTTCAAATTTCTTTCATTTATTTTAAATACTTTTCTTTTTAAATAGCAAATCGCTTGTGCAGAAATTATGATTTAGAATGTGACAATAAAAGATGTATTTCTAGAAGCTTGGTATGTAATGGTATTAATGACTGTGGTGATAATACCGATGAGAATGAAGAACATTGTGGTAAGCAAGTTCATTTTAACCCATTTTAGAATTCTGAAATGCACTTGTGAAATTCAGTTTCTAATGGTATTAAATGAATGTCATTAAGTCATTAAGTTTTCTGTCCTTAAGTTTCTGTAGGACAATTTCTAAGTATAGCCAAGTATCAGTGTATCGTTCTCAAATTAAAAAGAAGAAGAAAAAAATTGTAGGCTCTAATTCCAAATCTGAATATGCCTTCTTCACTTTTCTGTGTAGCTTAGCAATTTTTTCCCTCCAAATGTGCTAAAATGTTCACACCCAGTGCCTGCCACTTCGAATTTCAACTAGTTCAATTGCACACCTTTTTCAACTTTTCACTTTTATTGAGCCACTGAGAATTAAATAATTTCTTAAATGTAAAGAGGCATAGAATTTGAATCTTTTGGTAAATTGTTTGACATTATTGTTTAATCTTTTGATCATAAATACTGTGTATTTAATATAATGGTAAATTTTTCAACTATATATATATTTTTTTGGGGGGAAGTAAATTTAAATTCATATGAGCAGCTAAAAAAAGAATTACATAAAATTGTTTCACTGCAGTTTTCTGCTTTTACCATTTCTATTCAACATTTCTAACAAAAGAACTTAACTGTAAGATTGTGATGTAAGGTGTAGACTAAATAGATTATATGCTTCAGGTTGAAGAATTTCCATTCAAAAACGTTCATGTAGGTCCAGTTAATGTTTAAGTAAAAGACACACAAGAATACCTTAAATGTATATTTTTTATAGTAAATTACTTATACAATTCAGCTATAAACTGCTACCATGAAACCAACATGTTATTGTCAAAAATATAAATGTTAAATTATTCTAACTGCTGCCTCCTTAATAAACAGATAAAATTGGAACTAAAAACTAAATAACCATTGCATATATTTGCAGTGGTCTGGATTATAAATTTGCTGTATTTTATTCATTTCATACAATATTTGATTATTTGTTGTGTTATTGTAATCCATAATTATGTTAATATTTTATTGCATAACATAGCCATGAATAATTAATTTGCATAATTTTAAAGTGTTATTTCAGCCAGAGTATGTTTTATGTTATCAGTTGATTTTCTGTCATTTACGTTATTCTTTCTCTCCATGTCTCTCTCTTTTATTTATATATTTATATTTAATCTAGGAGTTTTTGAAAATGTTGATTTAAAATTCTTAGCTTTGCATTAAGCTATGTTGTTAATTAATACAACTGATAGAATAACTGATATTGATATAACTGACATAATTATGTTAATATTTTATTGTATAACGTAGCCATGAATAATTAATTTACATAATTTTAAAGTGTTATTTCAGCCAAATGCATGTTTTATGTTACTAGCTGATTTTCGTTCATTTAAGTTATTCTTTCTCTCCGTGTCTCTGTCTTTTATTTATACAGTCAAAAGTCGTTAATTCGGACCTCAAAGCTAGAAACTTTGACGCCGTGTTGGCACATGCGCACAGGCGTTTTACGCGTGCGCGTAAGACCTTGGCTACTGCGCATATGCGTGTGCGCAAGTGCAGAATACGTTTCCGCCTGCGCGTTTAATGTATAACGGATGGTGTAAGCTAAAATTATCTATTTCAGTTAATGTTAATGATTGCGTTGTTCCTTAATCTTCGAATTGGATCGCGCTTATTATTTTTTCCAGACTGTAAGAGCAATTTTATAAAAGTAAACTTGAACTTTCGATTATGTCAAATAGAATTTCCGATGCTGGAACTTCCAAAGGATCTACAAAACGAAAGTATGTTTCGATGTCCAACAAACAAAAAGTGGAATTGCTGCAAAAAATGGATAAAGACATGAAGAATGTGACAGAGAGGTTAGTGAAAACGAAAAAATTTTGATTGACAAGTTAGTCAGTATTCTCGGCACAGCAATTAACGGGACTTGAACAGCGGAACTTTGTAACTGAACAAGAAATTATGTCTGTTTATAGAATTAAAAAGAAAGTATTATCACATAAAACGAAGCAACTTAAACAACTTACATTGAAAGAAATGTTTAATAAAGTAAACAAATAAATATTAAGCTTTTTTTTTTTTTTTTTTTTTTTTTTTGTAAATTTTGATACCCTTAGATCATAATTGTTCTTTATTTCATAAATTACGGTTTCATATTTTTAATTTTTAGAAATTTCTGCATGCCATCTTACGAAATTTAAACTGATGATCTATAATCCGGAATCGCCGAAGTCCCGATGAGTCCGGATTAACGACTTTTGACTGTATATTTATATTTAATTTAGGAGTTTTGGGAAATGTTGATTTAAAATCCTTATCTTTGCATTAAGCTATGTTGTTAATTGATACAACTGATATTAAATTTGTATGAATATCATCAAAGATCTGCTTTCTGTAAAAAAAAAAAAAAAAAAAAAAAATAGTGTTTTAAAACTTTACAAGAAATTTCACATGTTAAAAAATTACCTACTGAAAAAACTGAACAGTCAGATTGTGTTAATTCTTCTTTTGTGAAAAACTGAATTTAATGACATTATTCAAAATTGCTTCAAATAATATTTTGAAATAACTCTTCCCGTACCCCACCCCACCTCACCTCACCCTCTGAAGGGGAAAACTACATTTAATCATAATGTTTAATAAATTTCTTTTGTAAGTATGTAAATTTTATTTTAATCATGTATTTAAATTTTAATAAACCATTTATTCTTTGCATGAGTTAAGATATTAGGCAAAGAATATGTATTGTTAAGAAGGAAAGCTTCGCATCAGCAGGAGTGGTTCCGTCCGAACGAAAAGGGACACAACTGCGCATGCATGAAATATCTGTCGCCAAAAAGTGCCAAAACTCGAAGCTGATGTCAAAGTTCAAAAGTCACATTTATCAAGAGTTTAAAGCTGTGTGACTTTTTTTTTTGTACATATTGACAGATATAAAATCAGACAACAAACTGCGATATGGATAATACAAGTTCAACTAGTAAAGCAAAAAAGCATGAAAATTCGAGTTTAAATTATCGCGAAAAGTCAAAGAACGATTCATCTTAACCCGTGTTCCTCAATTTCCTGTACACGTGGCGGAGGTGGAAAATCTCGACCAGGTACATCACAAAGGGGGACATTTTTGCCAATAGGTTCCGTCGCCAAATCCCTTGGCGAATTGTCCCTCTTCTTTCTAGCGGCGTAGAAGACAAACTGTTTTACATTACGTCTATGGAGCCTTTCCTTCTTTACATAGACTTTCTTTGTATTAGGTTCACAATATTCAGAAATTCCAGAAATCCAGTATCACAATTCCAGAAATGATCAGTTATGTTTTTAACTGGGCTTCATTAATTCAGTTTTGTCTTGCCTGGTAGTCACCTGTTTATGTTTGAGTTAAATCTGGAATTTTCTGCCAGGTACATTTAAAAAAGGGAAGGAAAAAAAACCAAGAATTGTTGATTGTGTTAATTTTTTTGTGTTTTTATTGCTGATACCTGTTTTAATCATTAGTTTGTTTATTTTATCTGGGATGCTGAAAAAATTCAACAATATATACGAGGGGGAGTCAAATGAAAACCATAATTATTTTTTTAAATATTATTTATTGGTCACACAGGGTACAGAAGTAAATCACTTTTCAACATAGCACCCTCCTCGTTCAATGCAAGTCCGCCAGCGCTTCGGAAGAGCCTGAATACCTGCAGAAAAAAGTCTTTTGGGCGATGGCACAACCACTCGTGCACCGCGTTGCGTACCTCTTCATCGGAGTGGAACTTCCTGCCGGCCATTGCTTCTTTGAGCGGACCAAACAGATGGAAATCGCTTGGTGCGAGGTCTGGCGAGTAAGGGGGATGTGGGAGGCATTCAAATTTCAGGTCTGTGATGGTCGCAACCGTTGCACGCGCCGTATGGGGCCGTGCATTGTCGTGTTGCAGCAGCACACCGGCTGACAGCAATCCACGTCGTTTCGTTTTTATGGCAGGCCGGAGATGATTTTTTAGGAGGTCCGAGTACGTAGCACTCGTCACAGAGGTTCCTCGTGGCATGTAGTGTTCCAAGATGATGCCCTTTTCGTCCCAAAAGAGGGTCAGCATAACCTTCCCTGCAGACGGCTGTGTCCGAAACTTTTTGGGTTTTGGTGATGAGGAGTGGCGCCACTCCTTGCTCGCTCGCTTTGTTTCAGGCTGATGGTAATGCACCCATGTTTCGTCACCAGTGACAATTCGTGACAGGAAGGCATTACCGTCACGTTCAGCACGCCACAAAAGGTCTTCGCATGCATCAACACGTCGCTGTTTCAGTTCAGGCGTCAGTTGTCGGGGCACCCATCTTGCAGACACCTTATGAAACTGGAGAACATCATGCACAATATGATGTGCCGATCCATGACTCATGTGTACACATGCTGCAATTTCGTCTATTGTCACACGGCGGTTTTCCAAAACGATGGCTTCAACGGCTGAAATGGTCTCTGGAGTCACTACGTGCTGAGCCTGGCCGGGGCGTGGAGCATCGGCCACGTACGAAACACCATTTGCAAATTTCCGGCACCATTCATAGATTTGTGGCTGTGACAAACACGCATCTCCATACTGAACCTTCATTTCGCCTAAAAATGTCAAATCGGTTTTCACACCTTCACTTCGCGAAAACCGAATCACAGAACGCTGCTCCTCGCTGGTGCATGTGGCTAGTGGGGCTGCCATTTTGGAACTGTTGTTGCGCCGGTGTTTGTGCATCTGCTGGCTGCTGCCACCTAGGAGACATCCGGCATACTATCGCAAACAGGCATGCCAACTTACAGCTCACTGGAGCCACATGCGGATTTTTATTTCTACTTTTATGGTTTTCAGTTGACTCCCCTACTTATTTATACATTTGTGTGCTTGTTACAATAAAATATATAAATAAAAATACTGTTTAACAAGCCATGAATTTAAATAATTATTCAGTGCTCTGAAGCCTAACATTTTCATATGAGTATGGATTTACTTATCTTAAAAATCTGTTAGGTATTTTTCATGTAATTCTCGAATGTATTTTTTTTTTTTTTACATTTAAAACTACTATCTATAACTTGCAATACTTCATTAAATTTCTTTAGTTATTTCTATATTATATATATAGGAAAAATTATTGTATTTTTACATTTTCAGCCATGTTGATTTGTGTCTTATGTGTTGTCTGCATTGTACTTTTTTACTTGTATAACTTAATGTTTCAAATTATAGGTCAAAGTGTTAATATAACTCTATGTGGAGACACCGAATTTAAGTGTGAAAATGAAAAATGTGTTCTACAGAGCGTCTTGTGTGATGGCACAAATGATTGTGGAGACTTTTCTGATGAAATTAAATGCAGTAAGTGCTATTCTTTTCTATCCTTCTGGGGAAAAAAGGTGTTATTTAAAAGCTCTGTTGTCACTTTTGATGAAATTTCTGTTACATATGTAGTGTTTTATGAATTAATTTACCTTTTAAATGCAATTCTTAGAATTGAGCCAAGTATTAAATTATGTATGTAATAAAGCTAATTACTTTGTAAAACACAATTAAATATGCTACATTTTGATTGTTTTCCATCTGGGACTTGAAATACACTCTGTCTCAAAAAATAAGCTACAAACAGGAAAATGGTAATAAAATGAAGATAATGTATTAAAACACATTGAAATTTTCATAGTTGTTGAACAAAAGAAGTGGCAACACCAAAGCAAAATAAGAAGAAAATAAAAATTATTTTTCAAATAAGCAGTACAAACAATAATGTCCTAACTTGTGCTATAAAATGTGTAGTAGCAAATATTCATCAGTAGGATATTTTACCACCTCTACTAGAGATGTACGCTTGACAGCAATGATTCATACCTGCAAGCAGTTAGTTAATAGCACTTTGCAGGATCTGTGCCCATTCTCCAAGGAGATGTTGTCAAGTCATTAAGGTTTTGGAGAGGACTGAGAGTAGAAAGACATCTCCCAAGCATATTTGAGATATGCTGTATTGTGTTCAAGATGGGTGAATACTCTGGCCATTTAATTCAGAGCAGTGTTTCACATTCCAAGTATTGGTTGACAACACGAGCTGTATGTACTCATGCATTATTATCCATAAATATGGCATCAGGACAAATGTTTCCTGGTATGGACAAACATATGAGTCGAGGATCGCATCCTGATAAATAACTTCTGTCACTGACCTGGGAGGAAAGGAGTAGAAATTAGTTCTGATATCTCTGCTCAAACCATGACACTAGCACGATTGTAGCTGTGTCTTTCAGTGATACTGTGAGCTTGAGATCAAGTTCCTGGAATTCTCTAGATCTGTATCCATTTATTGTTTATGCATAATTGGAACTCATCAGTGAACAATATATCGGCCCATTGCTGTGGTGTCCAGTGTATGAAATCCAGAGCCCTTACTAATCTAGCTCTTCTGTGAGACGATGTTAATGACACATGAACTGAGAGTCATGTAAAATAAAGATGACTTTCATGCAGCCACCTGCGAACAGTTTGTCAGGGTATAACTATTCCTGATAACATCACAGTGCTTGAAGCAATTTGATGGGTTGCACTCATCTAATAAAACCGAGCTTGCAGACATAGATAATGACCTACAGGCACAATTGTAACATTAGAATCTCCACTACTAGATCTTTGTGACACTATTTGTTTATTCTGATAGTGATTCCACGAGTGACTAATGATTGAATGATTTACATTTAAGGCTGGGGCAACCTCCATTCATTCTCCAGAATGAATAATCTATTTGCACACTAGCCTATGTTTTCACTAACATGCTGTCAACATCTCATTTCATTTCAGAGATTTGGAACAAAGAAATGAAAAATGAGCACCAGACAAAAATAACATCCAACTCAAAGAAATAACAATTGCTGAAATTAACCTGTTTTTATATCCATTGTACTACACAACCCTAAGTTTGGTTGTGGAAATATTTTACTACAGAACTGCTTTTGCATTTTACTGCAAGGTACATATGCAAATTCCGTTGCTCTTGCCTGAGTATTCTTATTTTCTACCTTTCTTTTTCTCAAGTTATGCTAATTTTACTGTATGTTGCTTATTTGTTTAGATGGAGTGTATCTTGTTATGTGTATATTAAATTCCAACAGTTGAATTTCAATGATTTGGACTAAGAAGGACTACAGGCTGTTCTCTGAAGTTAACACAATCAAAGTTCCACAAAAATTTCAGACATGTAGTGTATCGTAATATGATTCTGATAAGTCATTTATTTAAGTACTTTTTTAAATTCTAAATATGAATACAAATATAATATACATATTGATAGGATGAAAGTAAAGCTCAATATAATTTAGGAAGTCCCTTTCTTAAGTATTTAAAAGAAAGACATGCTAAAGATTTACTGTGTTAATAATTAAAGTATGACTCATGCTGTGACAATAAGTTCATTAACAATTAAGTTAAACTGTCTTAATTTTCATTTGAATCATATTGCGTATATTTTGTCAACTAGAAGGGTATGTGAATGTGAAGCACCACACAAGAAAATTGGTTAGAGGACAGTTTGGGTTGTATAACCATACTAGATTGATCAGTGAAGCACTTCTGTGTTTCATCAGCTATATTTTGTTGCATGTGTATGGGTTCAAAATAGATTGAATACACACAGGTCTGATGATAGGTTAATAAAATTTATTTCATCAAAAGAAACATCTCAGAGTTCTGGAACATTCCACGGAAATACTCATACAGGTGTTCACAGTACCACAGAATATGATCAGTAGTTACACTTCAAATTACTAAGACTATTAAACACAATGCAAGTAAAGCACCTCTAAAAGGCGAATTTTTCAGTACTTCAAAGTCTCTCTGAACTAACAACTCACAACAACAACTGAGGGGAGATGCTGTCTCTGGCCTTATATAGTGTTCACTCGGCTGCCACAATATTTCTATTACTTTCTGCTTCTCGAAATTACTGGAAGCCATATGAAGATACAGTTACAGCTAATATGATGACCACTTATTCAATTACAATACCTATTAATTACAATACCTATATTTGTATTAAAAAGATACAGTGACCAGACCAAAATGTCACCAAATGATCATTAAGTTTGACAACTTTTGGCGATTTCTCACCAAATTTGTTGACAAAAATTAGTCGCCAAAACTGTTGCCCCCTTGGTGATATTTGGCAATTTAACAAGATAGCCAATTACTTAATGTTAAATAAACTTACCTGAGTATTCTTATTTTTCTGACAGAGCATGCTCCCTCTAGATTTTCATGTTACATTATACAGAAAAATATAATAATTTCACATATAATTTCACTAAAATTATGCCTCTACATGCAAATGCAAAATTCATAACATAGCCCTTCCCAAAGGCTGCACAATTCCTGGACAGGAAACTATACTTACAACTAAGGTAAATAAATGCAATACTTAAACAATAATTTCAGTAAGCAACATAAAACAAATCAAATACTAAATCAATAAGTGTATGCATAAATTTTTCAAATTTAGAAACAAATAGGACTGTGGTCTTAGTATACTATTCATATTAGAAGATTTGGTCGTAGTATACTATTCATATTATATACAGAGGATTACGTACTAAGGGCATAATAATGGGCTAGCCTGTCATAATGAACGACTTTAAGCTTAGAATTCGATGACCTATGGATCCAAACTACTGTGTCATTCAGCCTGTTTAGGACTGTGTAAGGACCATCCCAAGGTGGCTGTAGTTTAGAAGACAGTCCTTTCCATTGAATTGGATTCCACAACCACACCTTGTCACCTTCATTGAATAGATGTCCTTTTGCTCTCCTGTAATATTTATTCTTCATCTTCTCCATCACCAAGTTGACTCACTTTCACGCACAATTGTGGATCGCTTCAAACTATGTCTTGAGATATTGGATGTATTCCTCAGGTGATGAAGGTGCATTAGGAGGGCGACAAAACAGAAGATAACAAGGCTGACAAAGGCCATGGCCAAAGAGTCCTGGTATGGGGAATAGCCGGTAATCTCATGGAAGCACTGTGATATACCAAAAAAAATGGAGATAACTTCTTGTCCCAGTACCTCTGTTACTCTGATAGCTTCTTGATCAGGAATAGGCTACCCTTCAGGCCGTTTGGTGAAGTAATCAATGACAATGAGGATGTATTTGTTGCCATCAACAGTTCATGGCAGAGTCCCCAGTATGTCAAAGGTGATGCATTCTAAAGGTGCTTCTATATTGTAACGCTGCTGCTTTCCTCAGCTGCATTTCTTCGATCCTTTCCAACCCGCACAGGCATCTGAAGGTTGGCACCATTTCTACTCATCATCCCTTGCATTACTCCAGCAAAAGTGCTCTCAAACTCTTTGTAGAGTCTTCATTATTCCAAAGTGGCTTCCTGTAGGACTGCTATATAATTCTTTAAGGATGTCAGGGATTCAAAATTTTGGAAGTATTAGCTGCCAACGAAATGCCTTTCCATCATCCAATTCAAACTTCTGGTACAAGATGCTATTTCCCATATGGAATGAGTCTTGGAAGTATAGATCAAAATGTTCAAAATCAAAATGTCCGGCCAGTAGCTTTCCTATTTGAAGATTACATTGAATTAATACAGTACAAAGTCTGTAATCCGAATGTCCATAATTCGGAATGATCTATAATACGGACCTCAAAGCTACAAACTTTATGCACATATGCATTTATGCATTTGCATAATGCGTTTACGCATGGGTGTTTAATGTATAACGGACGGTATAAGCTAGACTAAAATTATCTACGACATTTCAGTTAATGTTGCAGATTGCGCTGTTCCTTAATCTTCTAATTGCATCCGGGTTATTATTTTTTGCAGACTGTTAGAACAATTTTATAAAAATTAAGCTTGAACTTTCGATTATGTCAAAAAGAGTTTCCAATTCTGGAGCTGCCAAAGGATCTACAAAGCGAAAGCATGTTTCGATGTCCATTAAACAAAAATGGATTTGCTGCAAAAAATGGATAAAGACGTATATTTCTCAAAATTATGTGAGAAGTATGGCATTGGAAAGTCCACTATATATGACACAAGAAAAAAGGGACTTTTTGAATTTTTTGTGAAAGCATCTTAAACGACTTACATTGAAAGAAATGTATAATAAAGTAAACAAATAAATATTAAGCCTTTTTTTTTTTTTTTTTTTTTTTTTTTTTTTTTTTTGTAAAATTTGATACCCTTTAGATCATAATTGTTCTTTATTTCATAAATTACGATTTCATATTTTTAATTGTATAATTTCTGTATGCCATCTTACCAGATTTAAACTGATGATCTATAATCCGGTAAAAAATGGATAAAGGCCTATCTGTCTCAAAATTATGCGAGATGTATGGCATTGGAAAGTCCACTATATATGACACAAGAAAAAGGAACTTTTTGAATTTTTTGTGAAAGCATCTTAAACAACTTACAATGAAAGAAATGTTTAATAAAGTAAACAGATAAATATTAAGCTTTTTTTTTGTAAAATTTGATACCCTTTAGATCAAAATTGTTCTTTATTTCATAAATTACGATTTCATATTTTTAATTGTATAATTTCTGTATGCCATCTTATCAGATTTAAATTGATGATCTATAATCCGGAAAGCCCCTAATCCGGAATCGCCAAAATCCCTACGGGTCTGGATTATGGACTTTGCACTGTAATGAGTTTATTGCTGCCATCTTCCAACTGGTCTTTCGTGACTTCTTTCTCATTTCATGGGTCTGAGTCAGATGATGTTGGATTCGTAACTTGATGTAAAACTAGACTAAGTAGCCTGTATTTCACTTCATTCCTGGAACCATACCAGCAGCTTTCTGGGCCTTCCAGACTGGGCATCAGCATTTCCATATGATAATCTCTTCTGATGATGAATAGTTATATCATATTCCTGAGTCTCTTTATCCACCTAGCTGTTTGATCTTCGGCATTCCTGAAATCTAAGAGCCAGTTCAATGATGCATGATCTGTGCTGAGCAGGAATTTTCTGTCGTAGAGATAATGATGGAAATGTTCTAAGGCTTTAACTTTGGCAAGTAACTATTTTCTGGTGACATCGTAATTCCTCTCTGGGTTAGATAGACACGTGCTCCAGTTTAGATAGACACATGCTATGACACTTTCTTTTCCGTTTATTTCTTTGAACAAAACAGCACCGATACTCTTGTTGCTCACATGTGTATCAAGAATAAATGGTTTGTCAAGCTCAGGATACATCAGGATTGTCAAAACTTCCTTCACTTTGTTAAATGCATCCTCACATTTTTTTGTCCACAAGAGCTTTTGCTTGTTCTCTGTGAACTCATGAAGGGGTCTTTCAATCAAATGATAATAATTCATAAATCTCCTGTAGTAAGTGCAAAGCCCCAGGAAACTTCTTAGCTAATAGACATTTTCAGGGCATCTGCAATCTTTAACTGCTGACACCTTTTCTGGATCCATAGACACACCTTCCACAGAGATTACTTGCCCAAGATAAATTATGTCCGGCCTGAATAGTTTACATTTAGTGGAACTCAACTTAAGATTGTCTTCTTTCAGTTCCTGAAGCATATTTTTAATATTTTCTAAATTCTTTTCAAACCTCTTCCTGACAATGGTGATGTCATTGTGATATATCAGACAGGAAGGATATTATATGCAATATTAAGGAAGGATATTGTGTAGGAAAGACCTCTGAGCACAGTCTCCATGAGACATTCGAATGTTGCTGGTGCATTACATAATCCAAATGGCATCACCTTGAACTGCCATTTGGATTATGTAATGCACCAGCAAGTCCTTGTCTGGTAGTAAAAGCTATCTTTTCTCAGTCGGCAGGATGTATTCTACCTGCCAATAACCACTTTTTAAATCAAGCTTTGAAAACCATTTGCTTCCAGAAAAAGTGACCAGAATGTCATCACTTCTAGGAAGAGATTAGCTGTCTTTCTTCATAACCTCTTTTAGCTGCTGATAATCAACACAAAATTTAGCTGAATCATCTTTCTTTCTGACCAGGGTAATGCGAGAATCCCAGAGACTTGCTGAAGGCTCAGTAATGTTGCTTTTTTGCTTGTCCTTTATAAGTTTTCCTTGTTTTGTTATGCTTACTTTCGTTTTTTGTAACTTGTAATAAATTTTGAAACAATACCTTGATAATAATTTGGATTAATGTTATTCAGCTTCTGAAGAAAATGTAAAGCCTTGTGTTTCCGTTTTATTCTCTTTTAAAAACTTTATCAAATTTTAAAAACATTCTCTATAAATAAAGGTAAAAGTGAAACACATGATATATAAAGTTTTGATCAAAAGACCAACTGAAAATTGCAAAAACACAGGAAGTAACTAGTGAGCGTTTCTGAATGTAGCTGAATAAAATGTTAGAAGCATTGTCTTATGGTAAACATATCAGTGAAAGGAATGCTAAATTATCAGATAAGCCAATCCATCAGATGCCAGATTGTTTTGCTTTTGCTGTATCTTGTTTCAAGGCATTTGATATTTATATATTTAAAAACAGATTTTCTGATTGTTACTAGCTACTGTTATTAAATACTCACTCATTCTCTTTTCTTTAATTCTAACCTATCGAGCATGGTCATATCAAGTTTTTGGATTTTAAATTGTGTAAGTCATATTTTAGTCAGGGTGATAACATTTGTTGAAGCAACTCTTAGGAAAATACTGTCGGTGAATAGTACTTCAATTATATTAAGTATCAGAGTTGCAACACATTTATTTTAGCTAACTGTCATCTCCTTCAAGGAGCATGCACAATTCTATTTGCTATACAAGTTAACATATTTCTACTATATTGAGACAGCTTTAGTTGAAGCTAACCTTGGTCGTAGTGTGATGATTTTTTTTATTTTCATAATTCAAAATTATGTTTCTCAGTGTATGTAAAATTTTATTTTCATACTATTATCAGTATAATTATCATTATTAAATCTTCCATTTTCTATGTAAAATTTTTATTCTTTTCAGACATTAATGAGTGTAACTCTAAGTACAGTTGTGCACAGGATTGTATAGATTTGCCAATTGGGTATAAATGCAGTTGTCGCTCTGGTTATCGACCTGTAAATGATGGAAAGATTTGTGAAGGTAAGCAATTTATGTAATGTTTTGATAACAATTTGTTGGTTTAATTATTTTTATTAATTTATGTAATGTTTTGATGAAACTTTGTTGGTTTAATGATTTTTAGTAATTTATGTAATATTTTGATGATAATTTGTTTATTAAATGATTTTTGTAAGTTTGAATTTTTATAATAACAAATTATAGTTTAAAATAAATTGTTTACTCTTAATTTGTAAGATGATGCTTCTTATTATTCACACTGAAATGTCATGGCTGTAGGAATATTCTTAGTATGGAATATTTCTGTTTAAGAGCATGTATCATGAAATTTTAAAGACACATATTTTATCTAAAAATCTTTAAAATTTTTATGATGAGTAAAATTTTAGATCATTGCATGGATATTACGCATTTAGACTTGCAGTGTATTAAGGAAGGAAAGTTTTTAAGAATAGCTGACAGATTTCATCTATAATTCATGAATCAAAATACTGACTAATTAAGAAATAATTTCTAGTGTATTTTCATTTTGGCTAATCAAGTTACTCTTGTTTATAATCAAAGGCTAAAAAACACTAAAAGGCTAAACTGTTTATGAAACTGTAAAGCTGTGATGAAGAAAATTTTTCTAATGCATTCATGTCTCTGGAGTCTTTAAAACTAATTTTTAGTTGCATCATCATCTTAATCTGATTTGGTGCAGTAGTTCAGTACCATTTGTCATATAGTGTCTGTAACATCAGAACATTAGTGTATGTATTCAAAGAAAGTTAATATATGTATAAAATAAAGTAATGCTCACTTAATCTATACTGTACATAGCAGGCTTTAATAAAGCATATTTATATTAAATGGAAGAATTTTTTTTTTCTATTCTTGAGAGCATTTTTTTAAATTATTGGAAGGCTGACTAATCTTGCTTATCTGATATCAGAACAAGCGCACAAAATTCATAATGGCAAGGAGGCAAGAGTGTGCTTAATGTTGGCAAGAGCCTTGGGCACCATACAGGTGAAAGTACGACTTTGCTCAACTTTGCCCCCACTTTTGAATAATATGTATAGATTTAAGAACTTAAATATCATACCTTTTAATTATTCATAATAAGAAATCTTTCCATATACGATCTCCAAGGAATATAAATTAAATTTAAAACCACAAAAGAAAAAAATTTTTTAGAATGTAAAGCATTTTAAATAATAATTTCAATTCTATTTAAAATTTTATTTTGAATTTATTTTTGAATTTATACCTTTTAATTAAATATTTTTTTAACTGTTTCTAACCAAAGAAATCATTTTTTGTCACGTTTATGATTTATTAAACAGATTGTATTCTTTATTGTTTTAGACATAGATGAATGCACAGAAGAACACCCATGTAGTCAATATTGTCACAACACTCAAGGATCATATAAATGTTTTTGTGAGGCTGGTTATCTTTCCTTAGATGGTGGAATGACATGCAAAGCTAATAGTTGTAGGTTGATTTTCCTTTCTAAATTGCAATTCTGATTCTTCAGCTTTATTACAGTTGCTTTTGTAAAATATTTTATAAACTGTCTTCAATTTAATGCAATGAAAAAAATACAACTACCGTGTATACTTGTGAATAAGTCAATCAGTAAACCCCCCAAAAATATCATAAAATCAAGTGCAGGCAAAAAAGAAAGTGTTTATAAAATAAATATTGATAAAAGAGCAGAACATTCATAAAGTGTGAATTTGTCACTATTTTTTCAGTAATTGCAGATTTCAGATGTAATTGTTATTGACTGAAATTGATACAAAAGTAATGTATTTAATTGTAAATATATCCACCCACAATAGTCATATTGCTCAATTTCTTAAAATAATACAGGGGTAAGATATTTTGAAAATACTGGAGGGGTATGAGAGAGTTGCAGATTCTGATTGGCAAGGTTAGGAGTACTCTGTAATCGTATTAAGGAACATAAATGATAAAATGTTGAGAATCATTGTTGTAGTATACAAACTGTAAAAAAAATTGGTTGAGACAATCATCTAATGACTGTAAAATCAAAGTTAATCCTCTAGGTATTACAGCTGCTGTAGTTTTATTTTCTTTTAATATTTTTGTTCTGTCGTTTACTGGATTGCAAAACATGTCCCATGCCAAGCTTTTATGAAACGTACAATTCATACACTTTCTCCGCACATTTTAGCTTCATAAATTTATTCCATTTTAATCCATTCAACCCCTTTTTGAGAAGATATATGTATTTGCCACGAGGAATTTTTTTTTTTTTTTTTTTTTTTTAAATATTACTATTACAGTTAGTTTTGTTTGATTTGCTAAACACAACAGCAACCCTGTAGATTGTGTTTTCTCATAACTAAGCTGATTTTACATTTTTTGGTGTTCATTGTTAACAACTTGAAGCACATTGTTTCATCCTTATTTTCCCTGTATGGGATAAACTGAAACTGTATTGTTTCATCATTCAGATAATGTGCCTCCAAAACTTATTAGCTTATCTAGATTAGTGAGTCATGATCTGAGGAGTGAAAAGAGTTTTCAGTGGAAACTACCACCTGTGAGAAACTTGCAAATACTTCATTAATGTTTGAGACAAGTTTATAACAATAAACTTGTAGCAAATACATCAAGTTAATAATAAAGTTAGCACACAGAAGAGTTTTCCAAGGGTTCTTCAGTAGATTAAGAAGAGTAGGAAAAAGGCATTAAGGGAGCATGACCTACCTCAAAGTGTCCATCTTTACCGGTGGTCTGTGTTGGTGTAATTCCAAGTAATTCTCAAAATTCACATATAACATTTATTACAATGATAAACACAGCAGCACAGAATTGTATGGATAGAAGATTGATACTTAACATGGAGCAAAGGTTTTAACCCTTTCAGGGGCAGTGGTTTCGCCTTGAAACCGCATTTTCAACATTTTTTTAAAATTTAGAATATTTTTTTTTTTTTCCTCAAACCCGCTGCTAAAATTAAATTACTTCTTAAAGCTGATAACAGATGACAGCAGCAAACCTTTCTGGGCATCCATTAATTGATACGAATCATTCAAAAATAGCTTTTTTTGCACACTACTCTTTTTGACCCATTTTAAATGCAAAAAACCCCAAAATTTTTTATTTTTCCACAATATATTTTATAAGCAGGCATCAATGAGTAATGAAATGTCCTTAGTTCACAAAAAAAAAAGTAATGGAACCTTTTTTAATTTGAATGTTTTCATTGTGGTTTCAGTATGAAGCCACTGCCCCTCTGGGACATCGAAGAAATGATCAGATGACGCAGTTGCGAGATTTTTTGCAGTTGTGTTTATTGCTTTCGGTATCACTGCTGTAAACAGTTGCACAATATCTTCGTTTGAGTGGCTTCAAAGATGAGGATTTATGGAGCGTTTGAGAGAGGGAAAACAATTTCTTATTTTTTACAGAGACACAGAGCACACTGAAAAACACTTGTAGTTGTGTTTTTATTATGCTTCTCTTAGCGGTCGCTTTTCTCATGCTTCTAGTTCATAGTAAAATAATTGTATGCATCTTAATTTATTTTATTTTTACATATAATTTTCTCAGTTTTAAACATAATTTTTTTTAATATTTCATAGTTTTATGCAAGTAATTTAGTGCATTATTAGTTACTTTTTGTCTCATACTTTTTTGTTTCCTGTTTTAAATTTTTTATTTATAATTAAAAATGCATGTTTATGCAAATATTACTTACTTCACTAGTTGTTCAGTAATTTTCTAGTATAATTTGAAATTTGGGTTACGTTTAGATACTTTTCAGCAAAGTAAAGATAAATAAGCAAATGTGTCTAGTCTTAAAGTGCTCTAGACAGGCGCTAGTTTCAAGGCGAAACCGGTCCCCTTTCCATAAAGGATGACGAAAAAATTTTTTTTAAAACTCATTTATGTTATCTATAGGACCATTGCATGTCATTATGATTACTTTTTCATAACTTTTAAAAAATCATAACATTGCACCCCTGAAAGGGTTAACTCATGTATTATGTGTATTTTCAAGAATGGCACTGCAGGATTTGTGCTCTTTTGACTCTGGAAGTTATGTATGGTGAGTTACAACATAACTAATGATATTCTTTTGCTGCATCAGCACCACCTATATTATCTCAAAATTCATAACAGGCATAAATTTTTAAAAAAGACTGTTTAAATATTCACAGAAAGGGAGAAAATAAATGTGCAATTTCTTACAAACCAAAATTGTGATTTAATTGTAGCTTTTGAAAAAAGAGAAACAGTAATTTAGGACTTAAAGCAGAAAGGCTAATTCATAGAGCATTTCACCCTAAAACAGAAAGCGAGGAGTGACAACATAGTCATGTTCACACTGACTGTAAAGTTGCAATTTGCAGCAAAGAAATAAACGTTTTAAATTTGAAAAAAAAAAAGAAATCCCTAAAAAACTGTGTGTGAAAAAGGAAATTTAATTTATAAGAGAAAATTTTATTATTGTAAGCATTTATAATGTTTAAAAAGTTAATAGTACTTGTTTATTAATTTTAATATAATTGATAAAATGCACTTTGTTTGATAAGAAACTGCAGGTTTATCCCCCCTGTGCATTTAATATTAAATCATGAAGAAAAAACTATGGCATTCATTTTTTTTCCTTTATCTGCATACTAAGTGTGAGAATTCTTATAACGTCTTTATAACAACTTGAAGTTAGCCAGCCCCCCTCTAAAAAACCCTTAGTTTGGCACAGTTTTGAATATATATGTCATTTTTCCCCTCTGCAGCTTAAGAAAAAGAACTTATGTTTGACTGCCCTTGAAATCGATAGTTTTTTACAAATTTAATTTGATTTATAATTTTTTTTACCTAAATATAAATTTTACATTGGCATGTTTCTCTTCCGATTTAATGTAATAACAAATATTTTTAAAATAATTATTTAACTTTATATACTAAACACATACATTACATTTAAAACATTTATTTTTTTATTTGTCACATTTATGCACGTACATTACTTTTAAAACCTGTTTGGGATGAACGCAGCAAAGATGCCCTCCAGAGCCTAACGCCACATCCTTTCATTACCGTGAAACCTGACAATCACCTCACAGTTGCATAAAAGCAAAATATTTCCTAACAGATGATTTTACTAATCCATATTCTATTCAAAAGATTGCTCTTGTACATTAGTATTTCTCTCTCTGAGGTCATAATGATGTAGTCAAGTGTCTGTGATTTATTGGATTTTTGTAAACATAAACACATGCTGGGGAGTGATAAGGGAATCACGTGGCCTTTTAGCTCATTTTGAAGTGGTTGTTTATGGTTTTGATTCTATTTTAGGATGGGATTTTATGGGAGGTATTCTAGCATGGGTTTTACTTTTAGATTTATTTGTGTAGCTGTGGCTAAAAGACCACCTTATCTTTCCTGAGGAGAAAATATGTAAAGTTATGAATGATCCAGCTATGGATCTTTCCGATGATGACAATGAAACAACTATAAATTATTGGAGTTCTGCATACAGTAGTTCTGAATTAGAAGATGATAATAATAAATATGCATGATTGAAATTATTGCATGATAATAATGCAGTGTCGGTCTTTGCATTGATCCATGCTTTGAGATTCTTCATAAAGCTTTGAAATATTAATTATTTCAGTATTCTTCAAGTATTTCATAATGTTAAGTGTAAATGTTTTAAATTTTTTTTAATATTTTGCATTAACATTTAGTGTTTAAGTTAGGTACTTTTAGTTATAGTAAAATATAACATATCCATATTTTTATTGTTAAATATCAATTATGGTAATTAAATTTTTGTTATGATTAAAATTATGATATCTTTAATCACATATTTAAAAATTGTTTCATTTCTACTTTAAATGTACATTTTATCCATTATTATGTAATGCATACTTTCCAAAATTGTTTATTGGCCGAGCGGGAGAAAATGCCCCAGCCCGTAAGCGCAGTCTGTGTGTAACATCTCCCATCCTGAGAGAGCGCTATCTTCCGCAAGCTGCCGTCCTGAATGGGTTAAATAAATACAAGATTGTTGACTTAAGTTTGACGAAACAACTTTGCTCACAGTATCTAAAGATAATTAATAAATCTTTGAAAAGAAGAGGAAAGGAGGAAGATCTTCTTTATATGATTTGCACAAATGAATAAGCTAGCCCTTCTCCTTGGCTTTGACTAGCTTAAGTAGCAGATATATTTAACCATCTGAATGAATAATGTACCTGAATGTTAATGAATAATCCTTTAATGAAAGACAATCTAGTTGAAATAGAAGTCAATGCATGTAGTCAAGTGGAATTTGAAAATTTAGATTTAAAAATTTAGATTCTGCATACACATCTAAAACCTTATCCACAGCCACAAAGCAGCTCTGCACACATTCTTACCATTTGCTACCCCCTACATGTGTGAATTGGAATTTTCATTACTTTTCCTCAAAATTCAAAAGCAAGAAATCCCTTAATGCAAGTGATGAGTTAATTATGCCTCTTACAAAAAAGGAGCCTCACTTGAAAAGAATTATCATTAATTAACAAGAAAACATTTATTAAAAATTGATTAATAATTTTGTATGTTTATGTGATGTTATGCATTTTTTATATTTCAATAAATAAATTATGTTGTAACAAATGCAGTTTACTAAATAAAAAATAAAAATGCATTTTTATAGGGGAATTAATACTCATTTGCACATTCAAGAAGGCACAGATCATAAAATATTAAGAAACTATTGTTCTAGATCAGCAGCATGTTTCTGCGTTATTGTAGTTTCTTTTTACATAAGATTGAAATATGTCTCTTTATGAGCCAAGTATGCCATCCTACAGATGCTTTCAAATTATTGCACTGATATGATTACTGTTTGGACTATTTTGATGCTTGAATTTTTTTCATATTCCTTGTAGTTATGGATCCATTCTGTCTTTGTTCAGAAAACTATTCAGTGATAGATTTTTCTAATGCTAGCCATGAGTCAATCCCTGGTTGCAGAGAACACTTTTGCTTTGTTATTTTTTAACACATCTTCCTGTTTCGTCCAATATTGCAGCAGTTTCTCAGATGCATTGTATTTTCTTGTAGCAACAGTGTTATCAGTTTGCTTTGCTATTCCAGTGACTTTTAATTCTGAACTAATTTCATAGTACCTTTTGACCAGGACACTGGCACAAATGTGTGATAGCCAGGTTAAATGAGAAAATGTTCTCGCACAACTGCATGCCAGCTGGGAAATGAGTGTGTTTCTTGCTGTCACATATGCGTGACAGTAGGCACGAAAGTGTTAAGTTTATATGCAAGCCGTGTTAAACCTTTCCTGTGATTGAATGCAGTTAAGGAGACTAGTGATCATCCTCCATATGAAGTACGAGGGCTGGCCATTGTCAATAAAAACCTTGAAAAGAGATATTTAACTACTAGCACACCATGAGAGCCTCAACCCATGGTTTTTATATATGAATTCTCTCTTGAGCCCCAAAGGCTGAACCAGGACACCGGCGCTCATTTCACCTTGGGTCTCGGAGACCACTCCAAGGGGAAACAAAATACAAACGCTGCTGTTGACCTGGAGATTGACTGGTCATCAAAGTGCCCTTGCCAGTACTACAGGGGCTTGTCTGTCACCTAGGACTTCACCAAGAATACTCAGACTAGGCAAGCTGCTAGTATCATCAGCAATAAACGTAATTTTAATGATGGCAAGTGAATGCATTTTGTTTTCAGTTTTAATAATTATTTTATAGAACCTTAAAACAGATATCCGGTTCTTAAAAACAGTTTATACATTTTTAAGCTGAGAATAACTAAAGCATATTCTTTCTGTCTTTCTTCATAAAAAAACATAAACATATTTTTCATTCAGTGTAATTGAATGCGTTTCATTTTCGGGTTTAGTAATTATTTTATATAATTTTAAAATAGATATCATAGTCTAAAAAAATATTTTTAGAAGCTAAGAATAACTAAAATTTTTATGTTCTTTCTGTCTCTGATTTTCTTCTCTTTGAACCTTCAGATCCAAATGCATATGTGTGAAGTAAGCTGAGAGTTGAGTATTTTTAGCTCTAGTGCTTTGGTATTCAAAATTGTCTGTATTCTATTTATATTTTCTTAGTATCATTAATTATAATTTTGCCTTTCATAGTGTAACATGTATGTTCATAAAGTAAATGATATTTCAGCCGTGAAACCAATGCTTATATTTTCTAATCGCTACTATATACGGCAAATTAATCTTCATGGCCATGACGCTGAGTTGTTGGCTCGTAACCTCACAAATTCTGTAGCTTTGGATTTTGACTGGTTGGAAAACTGTTTGTACTGGTCAGATGTGACTGCCCTTGGAAGCAGTATTAAAAGAATGTGTTTGAACACTCCTGGACATCAGGTATATTTCATATTCATCTGAAATGGAGTAAAAAATTATTTGAATATGCCAATCTGATAAGATTTTTGTTATTCATTTATTTTATTTTCAGATTACCAGTACTTTATAAGACTATTTAAAAGTTTTAAATTTTTAAAGTAAATTTTTAAATTTTTATGTTTTTATATATTCTGTGACAAAATTATGCATAATTAATGAGAGGGGGGAAAGAATGATTAAAACACAAGTTAATGGTTAGTTTTTAAAAATTTAGCTCTCAAGCTTTTAGCTCCTCAAATTTAATGGAATTTTGTATATATTTACCAAATAAGTAAACTATTTACTTTGGTAGATATTTACCAAATAAGTAAACTATTTACTTAAAAGTGAACAGTTTACTAATTAACAATAGTTAACTCAGAGCTGTTATATATTGCAAATAATCTGCCTTAATGCAACTCTTAATGTAATAATACTTTAGGGAGTCTGGACCAGTTTTCCATTAGCTTAATGTAATTTTTTTCTCAGTGTACTCATCCTGTAAATTGTTAAAATCATGCTGAAAAACCCTTCTTGAAAGCATAAGTAAAGTAAAATTTCATCCACCCATTTTTTAATAACCAGTGAAGTCCTTTTTTCCACCCTCTTTCTTTCACCTTTTTGAAAAGCATGTACAAGTGTGATTAATCCCAGTTACTCCCAGTGCCTTTATCTTGAGTCTAATTTAAATGGTTTTTACAGCATATTGAAACTCAACCTTCTTTGAAGTTTATTACTGAAGGGTCATAATAGCTCATTTTTTGCCCCACGTTGGTTCAAAAAATGGATCCTTATTTATTGCCTGATTTTATTGCACATAAATTGTGTATAAATACAGCAAATTTATCTACACTGAACGCTGTGGTAGTTGTATTAAAACTTTTTTATTCTTTTTCGAAACTGATCATTTTGATTATACTTTTAAAATGAATCTGCATTAACATTTCTTGCAGCTTGTTGAGATCCTTTATAATTTTAAAAAATGATCACTGTGGAAAAAAAAAAAAAAGAAAAAAATAGAAGGGACAGTTCTGTACCTCCCGTTCTACTGGGCTGGTTGGCGAAATTAAACTTGCGTTTTTCAATGTCTCGAAAGTACAACTTAAGATATGTATTAGATTTATATATAGCATCGTTCTAATATAAGTATTTTGACACAAAATCGGACTTTTTCTGAAATAACATGTCTTGTTTCTATATTTCCATTTTATTACTCAAATTACGCTAAACTACCAAATAGCACGAGCAGTTTTTAAAAATTTAGCTCTCAAACTTTTAGCTCCTCAATTTTAATTGAATTTGGTATATATTTATTAATCTCTCTTTTTTTATTAAATTTATTTTATTCTTCCTTTCACATTTCAAAATTCACGTTCATTCCAAATAAAATTCACCCATTTTTTATGATTTATTTAAAAAAATTTTTATAAGTTTTTCAAAAAAAATTGAATTATGATCTATAAAATTTTTATCATTGTCTTAGAGTAGACGTATTTGTAAGCATACCTGCAAAAAATTATAATTTTTTATTCAAAATTTCCGAAGATATACGTGAATTTATATATTGGCACATTTGGAAATTTGGCATGTTTGTTGAAAGCGATAAAACATCAAATATGGTTTATACACTATCCTAAAATTCTTTGAAAGTAGAAATGATGTGACTTTTTTTCCACTTATGCACAACGTAAAGAGGTAGGAACAAGGTGCCTTTTTTCCCGCTCCAACATAATGGAAGGGAAAAGAAACTGGGTTGCCATATATTAAGAAGTTGCCAAGTGAATTATTTTTGGTGCAAACTGAAAAAATTGTGCCAAGATAAATTTTTGAATTTTTCTGTAAATTTCAAACCAAATTTTACAAAATTTAATGAAGGCATAATTTGAGTTGCAGAATCGAAATGTGGAAAAAATTTGGTATCTTATTTCAGAAAAAGTCCAATTTTGTGTCAAAATACCTATGTTAGAACAATGCTATTTATTAATCTAATATATATCCTAAGTTGCACTTTCAAGACATGCAAAACGCAATTTGGATCTTGTCAGTTGGCTCAGTAGGACAGGAGATGTAGAATTGTCCCTTTCCCCCCCCCCGCTTTGCACCTCTATTACCTACAGTTAAGCATTTAGCATTATCAGTTAGTAATGAATTAAAAATTTTGTATTTTAGCAGCGGTGCATTCAGTCATTATCAGTTGATACTGAATTAAGAATTTTTTGTCTCTAAATAAGCTAGTTCCTCAGTGATCAATGCAAAGGAGAAAGATGCAATGTTTAATAGAATTAGAGAGGCAAAATCAAAATTCCTGTTATTAAGGAAGATATTTATAGAATGGTTAGATATACACTCAGAAAGTGTATTGGTAGGTAGATATATTTTAAAAGTAAAGTTTAAGTTTTGCTGAAAAAATTTATGTGGATAGTGAATTCAATATTTCAAGTGGTTAGATTCGGAATTTTAAATTATGATACAGTGATATTAAAAGTCTGTGGCAAAACTACTTCTATAGCTACTGCAACACTTCATACTAAACAAAATTAAAGTTAAAGAAATAACTGAATTTACTCCATATGGTATACTGAAGTTAATGAATAAGGATTCTTTACTAAATTGTAAATTAACAAGTTATTGGTTTTTAAAGAAGCCTAAAAAATATTTATGCATTCTCTAAAAAATGTTCTATTTTTATATTGGTGCTTTTGTTTATATTTGTTCCAGTATTTGCCATTTGCAAAAATAGCAGTACACAGGATTTGAAGCAAGATATTTTCCATGTACAAGATATATAAGGTCAAGATTATTATTATTATTATTTTAAGGAATATGTCAGAAATTATATGGCTTTAATAATGATAAACCTTTGCCTATAGTTTTTAAAGCAAAATAGGAAAGCATGGATAAAAATGATATCTTTCAAGAATGGGCGCATAATTTTGATTAAAAAAATATCATCAAATGAAAGGAACATCATGTTTCTTGATAACTGTACATCGTCAAGATTCTGGACAAAGTTAAATTAGCATTTTTTTTTCTTAACTTGATTTTGCAGTGTGTGGATCAGTAAATAATTTACAGCTTCAAAAAGCATTAAAAAGAGTTAAATACACTTTTTAATTTAATGCAACTGAAAACCTTTAGTACATATATGCAAAATGCTCTCCATTTAGTTAAGACAAAGCTGCCTAAAATGAAGTTCCCGCATAAAAACTGCATTGTCATCTCTTTACCTTCAATACCTTCAAATAATGTGACCTCTTTACCTTCAAATAATATGAAATTTCCTTTCAAAAGATGCAAAGTACATGAATATTCCAAAAAGTTTCCTCATCAAAGGTTATGTTCCAATTAAATAAAAATGCAGATGCTTTAAAAGTGATCTAATGAAAAATGACTAAATATTGAACAAATCAATAGGACTTTGTAGAGACGTTAGGGTTTTTTTTAAGCAGGAGATGTGAAAAAGTATGCAATGCCCTCACCGGGATTCAAAGCCTGAATCTCTTGAATATGTGTCAAGTATGCTTCCAATTATATCATGAAGGTGCCTTACTACCCCTGTTAAAGGGCAACTGGGTATCAGGGGCTCAGTTGTCAAATCCTGATGGTGATGAATTATTGTCCACCACTTATTAGTTCGGACACCTATTGTAGAATCGTTAGATTTTCTTGAAGCTGGAGATATAAAAATTGTGCAGTGCCCTCGCTGGGACTAGAACCCTGGATCTGTCAAATATGCATCAACTATGCTTCCAGTTACACCACGAAGGCGTGCAAAAAGGAGAGAGAAAATACTTTTTAACTTTATAATTTGAATTTTTTTAGAAGAAAAAACAGGAGCATATATCAGTAAAATGTGCTGTTGGTTACAAATTTTCATTTAAAGAACAAATCATTTATATTAATTCATATTTTGAAAAATGGGATAAATAACTGTTTAAGATGGCAATGAAAGCAGTTTAGTATGAATGATTTAATCAAAGTAGCACGACATTTACTTACATTAGTTATAAGTAATTGTTTTATTATTCCATATTTCTTATTGATAAATGAAATTGAGGTAATCTTCTGTCTGATTGTTTAGTTAATCAAATTTTAATTATTTATTTATTTAAACTATATTTCATCATAAAACAAAGTTACCTTTGGTCTAGCTTGGGCTTATACAGTTAATGAATGCTATCGTACAAAATGTCAATTCAGGATTCTATTTACTCCATAAGGTCAAACAAATTAAGAATTGGTCATAGTTGGTATTTGAGTGTTGATTTCATGTTTGATATGGGGAAAGTGTGAAAATGTGACATTCGTATGGAAAGTTGTAACAATAAGTGAAATTCTAGAAACAGGGGAGTTAGTCTTGCTGAAAGAAGGCTCCCTGTAGATGTGACAGTACTTGCAGTACAGTAGGTCACATGATATTAGCAGCATATGATCAGTTCTGAAAATAGTACAAAGGTACGCTGAAGTCAAATGGGATGTGGATATATGCGTTTTATAATAATGCTGGTTTGGATTTAAGGCCCGTCTTCACACATAAATTATATTGTTATTTGAGCCAAGTATTTAATCATGATTCATTTGTGGAACTTATTACCACTGCCTTGCAATGTGTTTGTTGTATGTTGGACTGGAATAGATCAAATAGGTCATGGCAAAGCATAGCTCTCTGCATAAGATTTTGGAAGATTTTCTTAGGAAAACTGGATTGTAGTCATATTACTTATGGGGAAACTACAAAAATGTTCATGCAGAAATTCTCAAATTAAATTACCAGTGATGAACAACAATTTTATCTGCTTGGCTGCTGGAGGGGGATACACTTCTTAGGCATGAATCTATATAGACATTGCTGTTGATGTTGAGAAACTAGAGGTAGACATTAAAATGGGTGCAAACATTACACACCAGCCTTAATGCTATGACTGTCATTATCCAGGAAGTGCAAGTACATGACAGTGATTGGTAGAGAGCAAAGCTTTTGTGAGTTTTGAGTACTGTGTGATCTATCCAGATAACTGTCTTCCTGCTCCCTGATGCAAGAAATAGATACACTGTCTTTTGGGACAAACATAATCTGATTTTGTCATTACTTCAGTCCACATTTGAGAATATTCTTCAATATGACCAGTGAATTTCTATAGACCTGGTATATAATATGCTTGGCAGACTTAAATGAACAGCCTACAAGAGCTGAGTAGAATTTTAATAAGAAATCATCTCTGTATCTTTGTTGTTAAATAATAACTTTACATTTGCATGTTGGAATTATAATGCGAATATCACTTTTCCTTTATTAATGAATTGAAGGACTTCATTTATGTACTTATATATTCGTAGTTACCAGCTCATATTTTTTGTCTCAACTATTTATATTAGTGTTTACATGTGGATTTTCTTCAAAATTTGATTTGTGGCAAATTAATGGTCTTGATATTTTTATTTATTTACTTTTTAAGCTTAATCCATTTATATAATTTTCCTCAAAGCTGTTGCATGCTGGCTCTCTTCAAAGCCCAGATGGACTTGCTGTAGACTGGATAGGAAGAAATTTGTATTGGTGTGATAAAGGCAAGGATACAATTGAAGTCTCAACTCTTGATGGTCGATTTCGAAAAGTTCTTATTCGGAAAGGTTTGCAAGAACCAAGAGCTATTGTTCTTGATCCTTTCCATGGGTAAGCATAATTACAGCTTCACTTAAATTATTTATGTAAGAAACAAGTAATGGCACTTTTAGATAACTACTATAATATACAACATGTATAGAAAACTACTCATTCATCTTCTCACTTTATGGAAGTATTCATTATAGGATTAAAAAACAAATTATTGTCCACATTATTTTCAGTATACATTGATAATTCAAGACAATGTGCTAGTTGAAATTTAATGTACTGTAATTGTTCAAGCTTTTGTTTTTTCATCTTTTAAGATGAAAAAAGTATGTACAATGTACACATGTGTTGTGATGTTATTGCTTTAAACGTATGTGTGTGCTGCATGAGTGAGTGAGGCAGGCAGCAAGCAAATTAAAATTATTATGAATTGCTTCAAGGAAATCTTGATTCATTATTTAGTATGAATGATCAGTAACAATGAATTGTTTTGAATGATCAGTAACAATGAGTTGTTATGAATGATAAATAACAATAAATCTTAATTCATTGTTAAAGCTTTTTATATTATTTTAATAGCTATTTAAAGTAAAAGGCTTAAAAACCCAAAATGATTAGAAGGAAATTTTAAAACTTGTATTAGTGTGGCCAATGTTTTTTGAACCACATTGGTGAGAGATGGTGAAAATTTCCTGAAATTCAGAAACAGACTTAAATGTTGGTGGATTATAAATCATACATTTTATTGTTATTGAAGTCTTGCATAGAGAGAAAGTTAAAATTTTTGTGACTAAGGGCTGTAAAGAACTAGGGGATAGGCAAAGTTGTTGAGAGAATTTTTAATAGAAGAAAGTAATAATAGAAAAATTTCTAAAAACTTTTGTCATTACCAAAAGGCGACAAATATCTTAAAAAGAGAAGGCAGTTAGTTGGCTTTTGTTTGAATAATGAGAAGTTATAGGTACTTTGATTATCTAATTTAAAAACTACTACAAATGGAGTTGTATGATAATACTCATAAAAGAAAGTACTGAATACTCTTTCCTCCCTTTTAATAGAAAATTACCTATAATAAAACCCCATCACTGTATTCGGAACAAAAACCTGGATTTTTGCCTCCAGATGACTGATTGATAATTGTTTTATTTGAAACTATATCATCAGAGTAATGAAATGCACCCAGTATATATATATATTATTTTTTAATAAAAGATTAATGCATGGTGAATCTGAACAAGTGGGCAAAACTTTATGGGGTGATAGAAGGCAGCTATATGAGCAGTATTTGTCATAGTGTCATAGAATGTATGGTCAGGACGCAAGCCAAGTTAAAGGTAGTTTTCCACTGTCACATTTAAAGAATTAACACAAGATTGAGGAGTGGTTCTAGGAAAAAAGCGCACAGGAATAATGCTCATAGGTATAAATGGTCACAGAAAAAAGCCCACACATAAAAAGCTCACATGGAAAAATGCTCACTTAGAAATATGCTCACACAGAAAAAAGCTCACATAGATATATGCTCACATGGAAATAAGCCCACTGATAAATAACATAGATATATGCTCACATGGAAATGAGCCCACTGATAAATAAAATATGTAGGAATATCCTTACATTAATCAATCAATAATTAATCGATCTGAACATCGTACACCTACTTAATTTTTAAAAGAAAAAATATTTAATCATTTAAAAAAATTATTGGACAAACGCTCACATAAACCTTTTCAGAGGTGGTATATAAAAGAATGAGAACTATAGTAAAATTTTGCATGTACTATAATATTTTATACCACTGCTCCTGTACGACATTTTTATTCTTGTAACTGCCAATAGTTATTTTTTTTTACTCTATTTTTTCATACTTTTGATGTGTATATATAGGAATTGATGTTTGAATGTAGTTATTTAAGTTTGGAACCATAAAAGTTCTAGAAGACCACAGTTTCCAATCCAAATGTGGAATCATTATGAAGCAACCTCAGAAAAATCTCTAAAACCATAAATCGTTACGTAAGCTTTCATAAGGTACTAATCATTTAATTGTAGCCATCCCAGTATGTGGTTTTTATTTGACGGACTGAAAAAAGATTTAGCCTGTCAACATTTATTATTAGCTATTGTAAATACAGGGTGTACTGAAGTTTAAAAAAAAAAAAAAAAAGAAAAGAAAGAAAAAAAGAATATATAAAAACTTACATTTAGTGTTATAATCATATTAATATTTCTTGATCTATAATTAAGTTCATTACAACACGCTCACATAGCACATCGTTTATTCCAAAACCAACATCAACTGACAATTACTTCACTTCAGTTCGACCAGAAACTAGTGTGTTGCCACATATATGTAACATCTTCCCTCGTTTGGGAGAGTCATAGGAATCAATGCATTATATAATTATCATATTTGGATGGTCAATATACATTACGACCACTTCTTGTTTTATATACACAATCACGATTAATATTATTGCTGTTATCTTGATGGTGAGGATCATTATGTCTTTTTGGATGTTCACAACTTATATTTTCCTAATTCTCATTACATAGATCATAATAGTCTAATATCACTAAATTCTTCTGATTTTTAGTTTTTCTTAAATGGAATTTATTCTGTCTAATTACCCTATTATCTTTTGTTCGAATCCAATATGATCTAGGAGTTGAATTTTTTTTTTTTTTTTTTTTTTAACTATAGCAGGCTCCCATTTATTTTCCCATCACAACATTACCTTTTTCCCAGGAATAAATTCAGGTCTTTCCCTTGCATGATTAATCCCACAAATCTCCACAGAAAAAAAGCTCACATGGAAAAATGCACACTTTGAAATATGCTCACATAGATATATGCTCACATAGAAATAAGCTCACTGATAAATAAAATACATAGAAATATCCTTATATTAATCAATCAATAATTAATCAATTTAAACATCATACACCTACTTGAATTTTTCAAAGGAAAATTATTTAAATTGCGAAAACATCTATGGTATTCTAACGTCAGAACACCTGTGTTGGAAGAAAAGACCGGTTGTCTTTTAAAATATTTATTTTAAAAACATAATTAGAAATTCTTGAATAGTAATTAAAAATAATCAAATCATTTCAGCCATAATACATACAAAGGCCGCTAACGTGGCGACAACGCTGGGATACGTCTGCTTTCACTTGTTTACAGTATCAAAAGCTTATTACACAGCGCTCTTTCCTCATTTTGTTAAAAACCTGGAAAGAGAATAATTAGTCCCTTATGTCTGGAAGCCACACCTGGGGGGTTTCCGCTGCACCTTTCTTCCAAGCGTCTGTTGTCCATTCTTTCGCTGACAAATAGATAGTTCTCATTAAGCACCTGGAAGTCCGAGGGTGCATATGTCTGAACGTCACAACTCCTACCCTCCGTGGGGGTGGGGTTTCAGAACTTCGATTTCTCGTACCTTACCACAGCAAGTCTTAATAATAAAACTATTGAATAATTATTAGCACTAATACATTTTTTTCACAATGCTGGGTTAAGTTTAAACCTTTTAAGCAAATCCTGTTTATGTAATCGTAGTCATAAGCCTGCTGCTCTGGTTCTCGCATAATCAGCTGAACTATGTCACTTGGCAAGATTGTCAACAGGACAGAAACCCATTCTGATTGGTGAAGATTCTCACGCTTTGCTTGGCGCTCAAACATAACTAGCTACAAACTAATATCGTACTCTTCAGGATCAAATTTTGGAATAATTTTTTTTGATCGTAACAGCTTTTCTTAAGTCCATTCCTGCCATTTACAGAGTGATTTCTGTTAGAGGCTAGTAATCTTAACTTCGATATTTCAAATTCCATTTCTTCTCTCCTAATTCTTTCCTGCCTTTCTTCTTCTTCTCTCCTAATTCTTTCTTACCTCTCTTCTTCTTCTCTCCTAATTCTTTCCTGCTCCTTTTTTCTCAAGCCTCATTGAAGTGATATTTTCTAACAGGCCTTTCATTAGTTCCTCCTCATAGGATTCATTTCCCATAATCAGCTGTCTTAAATCCAATATCCTAAATTCAGGGCTAACTTTTCCCCCCTAACTCTTCAGCCAAGGATTTAAGATCCTCTTTCCTAGTGTTAGCTAAGAATGCCATGATATGAACAAAATTATGCTAGCAAACTAACAATTTTATCTCCCTCACACTAAATCTATATAAAATGGATTTACACAAATATAATTTTCACAAAGAGGGAGTAAAATTGAACCCTTAATGTTTTTTCAAACATTTTTTTACAGATCTTAAACAAAAACAAGACAGTTTACACTATAATATGCACATTATGCATTCAAATAAAAATTTGTCTACTTGGGGACTTATGATACTACAGATAATATTACCTTTTAAAAGCTTTAAATTCAGTTGCGTTAAACTCAATTGCTTATGCTAATACAATATACTTTCATCAAAATTTGAGGTATCTTAAAATATGCAATCAAAGGTTAATTATAAAAAACATATATCTACATGATCATAACTAAACATTAATATGACAACCGTTAAAATGAAAAATACTTGAGATTTCTAGCATTCCCCTTTTACTCATTCAATAGAAAAAATTTTCTCAATTCTTACACAAATAATGTTTGACACACCTTAACTGAAAATTCTAATATTTATAATATTCAAAACGTCTTAGAAATGAATGTCAGAATGCCACTTAACCTTAGAACCTTCAAGGTTACAGTAATTCTTCTCCTTTACACATTCAATTATATAAACTTAATTTGAGCAAAACACTAGAACCTTCAAGGTTACAGTAATTCTTCTCCTTCACACATTCAATTATATAAGCTTAATTTGAGCAAAACACATTAACATTTCCGATATTAAAAAAAATCTATTAACACAGATTTAAATTCCAAAATTTATACTTCTTATTGTAATGTAAAACCCAAACAGCACATTTCTTTAAGCTTTACAGAAAACAAAGTTGACTTAAAACAGTTATGTGGACTTGTACACTAAATTACAGAAATAAATTAATTTACAGCCTCAATATCCAAGGTACTTACCAAGGTACCTCACCAGTATA